ACATAACATATCCTATTCTTAATAGGCTATACTATTAATTTGTATAGAGGTATTATTAATTTCTAGCGGTCTAATTAGCTATCGGCTCTACCTATAGAGTCGGAGTTTCTAGTAGTAGGCTCCGATCTATCGATTTACCTACTAAGACTTATATATATCCTAACCTATCTACCTTATAATAGATATTTTAGTAGTAAACTACGTATAACTTATCTAACGTACGATTACGTTATTTATACAAATAGGTAGGTTAGAGATTTAGCTATAATAGCTAGTACTAAGAACGCTATTATCTCTAATCGATATAGGAAGAAGTATTTAATTTACTAGCTAAATTAATACCTACCTTCTACTAAGAACGGAGATACTAAACCTATAAGTACTTCGTATACTCTAGTCGACCGATAAGGCAACTCCGGATAGTAGATTAACTATAGCTATACCTAATCGTCTATATACGGCCTACTTACTTTAATTCGAGCCTTATAATCTACCTATATACGCTAAGCTATTCTATCTCGTATTACTACTATACGACTTAGGCTCTACCTTCGATTCGCCTTATCTCGTACGCTAATCGGCTTATCGTTATTATTAAAGTACTCCTCTTCGTCGAATCCGGTATCGTAGTTATCCGGCTCCTATTAATATTCCGGCGCTTTAGAATTATACGTCTAGCTACGGCCGTTAATAAAGTTATAAAGAGTAGTAAGTGTATATACTAAACGAGACTATATCTTTATATCGTAGCTAAACAGTAGACTACTAGATAGAATCGGCTAGCGCTTCTTATAGATACTAAATACTCGCTCGATTAGATTATAGAGCTACGGATAGCGTAGATTAAATAGCTCTTTATAGTCTTCTAGCTTCTTTACTAACGCTTAGTACTCGCGTAGGTAATACTGTATCTTTTAATATAGTACGAGTACGAACTTATCGCTCTTCGGGTAGCCTCTATTAGTAAGGTAGTACCTATTCTTAGGCGGTTTAAAGCCTATCTCTTTACCCTTCTTTAATACTATCTAATCGTTCGCTAACCCTTTGTAACTAGGTAAAATAAACGTAAAATTAAGGTCGAAATCCGCCGCTACTAGTACGTTCTATATTAACTCGCCCTTCCGACTACGATAGGCGCTCGAATTTACGTTCTTCGGCTTAAATTTAACCTAGCTACTATCTAGCGCGCCGATATAGTTACGATAATATAGCTATATCTTTTTGTCGTTACGGATTCGTAGTAGTATCGAGCCGCTACTATCCGGCTACCTTACTACGTCTACGTATATCTTATAGAGTAACTACGCTACCTTATTAACGGCCTTCGAAATCGAGCGTAGCGAATACTAATAGTAAAGCCGTACCTTCCGGTATATAACCTAATACGCTATAAAATCGAGAAATATAATAACCTACTCTATATAGCTAATTCTACTACTAGTAGTAAGGCTATAGCGTACTTCTAGAGTCTCTACGAGCTCGTAGAGTAGCGGCTAATATAGCCTAGTCGTCTCGTAATACTACTATAGTTCGCTAAAGAGTATATACCTAGTCTATTTAGCGCCGAGCTATAGTATTAGAAGCGCTATAATAATACTAGATAGCCTAAAACAAGGTCTTAAATTATCTTCTTCTACGAGCTATCTATTACCTACGAGTAAAGTAAGGCCCTATACTACTATCGATATAGTAGTAATAATAGCAGCCTCTTCTACCTTATTTAGCTCTATTAAATCTATTAAATCCTTATTAGTCTCTATTAATTCCGAGTTATCTAGAGCTATAGCTATCGCTAGCTATTAATATACTACTCTTACTACGTCTCGTACTAAAAGAGTTTAATATTATACTATACTACTTATAGAAGCTCGGAGGGATCCGATAGTCCCTATAAAAGATAAGAGTACTATAAAATTAGCTACGAAAGCGTCTAGGAAGACGATTTCGAAATCGAAGCGATTTCGTAGCTATAACTACTAGATATAGATAGCGAGTAGCGAGCTTTACGAAAGCGATTTTGACGCACGATTACGGGTATTTAATATACGGATTTGGGAAATCGCCTGCCGATTTTCTAAAGCGGCGCCCGATTTCGTAAAACGCCGGCGGAGTATTCAGAGCCTCAACGCATTGGGGAAGGCGCGACTGGGTATTCCTCTAGACTCACCCCTCGACGTGCCTTGACCATGCCAGCCTCTTGGCCCTCCTCCTCCTTCTTCTTCTTCCTCTTCTCCTCCTTCTTCTCCTTCTAATGACAAGGCCACTTGTTCTGGCTCCTTCTTGGGCCATCTCTGGATGATGCCACTTGTGACTGGCTAGACTGGCTCGACACTCGTGCCACGGGCTCGATAGAGAAGGTCCTACCTCGCCAAGAGCTTGGCCAAAACCATTGCGACTTTCTGGCAACGAAGATCGAGACAGCTTCGTCGATACTCGATCTGGTGTTGCTGTCGACTGGAGAGCATTGCCGACATGGAGAATTTCTGGGGACATGAAGCAGCCGGAGAGCTCACCTGGGGAAAGCTGACCCCGCCTTGCTCTGCACGCTGAGATGCGAATGACATAGTTCTCTGATAGATGCTCCTCAAAGGCAACTACACTCGCGGTCGTTCTTTCATACCCAGTCTCACGCTGTAAACCAATCCATCATGTCAATCCAGCAAATCCAGTCCAAAGGTATCTTTCACGGCTTGCCCGTCTACCCACGAGAACAGTCCGGCCTTACTGCCATCATCACCGGCGCCAATGGGATCAGTGGCCACTACATGCTGCGGGTGCTCTCCGAGGATCCGAAACGATGGAAGAGAATCATCTGCTTGAGCCGAAGACCACCTTTGATCCCGGGCGGGCTTCCGGAGAACGCTGAACACATCCCTTGCGATTTTCTCGCGAGTCCACAAGAGATCGCGGATGTTCTGAAGAAGCACAGTGCTGAAGCCGACCATGTCTTCTTCTTTTCGTATATTCAGCCAGTCCCTAAAGAAGGAGCCGGGCTCTGGAGCAATGCCCGAGAGCTGTGCGATATCAACTCGAAACTCCTTGACAACTTCCTTCAGGCTCTGCAATTGGCAGCTATCACACCGAAGCGCTTCATGCTACAGACTGGCGCCAAGAACTACGGTAGGTCAAGGCATCTCCATACCGCGAATGATCATTAAGCCATCACAGGCGGCCACCTTGGTCCGACCAAACTGCCACAAGAAGAGACCGACCCACGAGTTGAACTGGAGCCAAACTTCTACTATCCCCAAGAAGATCTTTTGTGGAAGTACTGTGAAGAGACAGGAGTAGGCTGGTCCGTCCACATGCCAGGTCCAATCGTCGGTGCCGTTCCAGACGCTGCCATGAATTGTGCCTTTCCCCTAGCAGTCTATGCGGCCGTTTGCAAGCAACTCGGGAAGCCATTTGAGTTTCCAGGAGACATCAGCTCTTGGCAAATGCCTCAGTCCATGTCGGCGGCGCAGATGAATGCGTATCAAGAAGAATGGGCTTGTCTACTCGGTCCTCCCAACCAAAAATACAACACTTGCGACGACAGTGCTTTCACGTGGGAGCAATGCTGGCCCAAGATCGCACGTTGGTATGGCATCGAATCAAAAGGTCCGCAGGATGGCGAAAAGTACGACGAATTCGAAACACGGTTTGTCCCCCGTGGTTATGGCCCCAAAGGCATCACGAGACGGAAGTTTTCCACTGTTGCCTGGGCCAAGAAGCCGGAGGTACAGCAGGCCTGGAGCGAGCTTGTGAGAGAGCACGGACTTACGCAGGAGCTGAAAGATATCGACCGCGTCTTTGGCTTCCTGGACGGCACGCTTTGCCGACCTGCTCCGCTTCTGTTCAGGTAAGAAGGAATGCCGTGACTCAGAGCGTCTCGCATGTGCTGACCAATCAATCCAGTATGGACAAATCGCGTAAGCTGGGATGGCACGGATTTGTGGATTCCTCCGAGGCCATGTTGGATGTCTTCCGGGACTTTGCCAAGTTGCAGATGATTCCGCCTGTGCCGATGGTCTGATGTTGAGCGTCAGACAATGACAATACTAAATCTACAGCGTCTTTACACATGGGAACGTTATCCTCTTCCCGAGAATCCTAGCAAGAGCCAGAGCAACGACGATTCTGATAGCACACAGTCAGCAGTAGTAACCATCGACATAGCACTCCTGTAAACGAGGACGCTGTAGCACTACAGCAAGAAGATGTTGGACGTAGGCAGAAATCTAACAACATCTGAGTCAGAGCTTCCGCACTAGCCGCCGTACCCGCACATTGTGTCAATCTTATCTTAAAGCAGAAATTTTGCGGTCCCGTCGGTGAATGGCAATGCTATAGAAGGGGATACGACGGAAAAAGTCGGACTCTGTCAGCCCAAGGTGAAGAGAGAAGGTGGGAAGAGTGTCCTGCGTTCATTCTTGAGGCAGTGCGAAAAGCTATCTAGATAAGATTACACTCGGACATCTCAATGATAACAAGCACACCCGCCCAAATTGAATTCAAAGTTATAGAAGCAAAGACGGCCAAAAAAAACGAGCCAAGTATTCTGCCTTTGAATATAGGAAGAGCCGAAGGCGGGGCTCGAACCCGCGACCTTGAGGTATTCTTTACTCTGTTGCTGTAAGAGCCACACGCTCTACCGATTGAGCTACCCCGGCGAAGGCATTTGATTGGATGGTGACATAGCAAAATTTTATATATACTCTTCACAACTGACTGGCCTGGATAAACATGGGATGGGATGGTTTTGGTTCCATTATCCAGAGTAAGATAGACGTGTCTGTATAGCCACCGCGTTTTCACAGGAAAATGAATAGCGAAATCGTCGATTGCATCAATATCCGCGAAATCTATATAGCAATGCCATAACCGCCTGCTTCTACACCAACCTTCTTCTTCTTCTTCGTCGAGACATTCCGTCGACTTTATAGTCTCCCGGCCATGTGTGGTCTGCATCTTCTAGACGATAATCCGATCCTCGCCCACCGCCCATGTTCGTCGTGCGGAGTTCCATCAAAGTCTGCTTCGTACTTTGGTACTCCAAAGCAGCGATCAAGCGAATTCAGCGCCGGAGCGATTGTTTCTCCGTGATCAAGAATGTCATACCATGAAAACCCAACCATAAAATCCAGGCATTCGTCCGTCCGCAAGAGATCGAATGCGTTTCGCTGACCTGGACGTTCGGCGTGGAGTGGGCGAGATCTAGTATCCCGGATCCCAGAAGAGATATATATTCTCTCTTTGTAGCCAACTCCAAAAGCGGCATCGCGATGGACGCTGGATGGATTTTCCATGGCTATTCTTGTGACCGTGTCAAGCCCCGTTCTGCAGAAGTCGGAACTAGATCTGCCGGGTTGGTTGCAGCGTCAGGATCCAGCGAATATTGCATGTGTGCAACGAAATCGACAGTGAAAGTCGTTCTATTAGGGTGTCCCACGACAAGTTTAGAGTCCAAATCCACTTGAAAAGTAGTCATACATACATTCTGCTCGATCCTGCATTGTCGACGCCCTTGTCGAGATCGAAAAAAACCTGTCGCAGTCGCACTCTAGAATGGGTGTGCTGAAAGCCATCGAGGGAGAAATGAGCGACCGGAAACGCCCGCCACCCTGATCCCATTGATCTCTGCACACTCGGTATTACTGCCTTGCAATTGACCTTGAAAATAAGTTGTATTGGCTACATAATAGCTGGCGGAACATCAAACGATTCGTGTTGCGTCCTGGTGAAGGATCTAGGTAAAGATCCCACCAAAAACGGCTGTGATCATAACTTATCAGCCACATCTTGGCCTTGTTAACATCGACAGCGCCGAGAGGTTGGCGGCGGCGTTATAGCTTTGATCTTGCTCTAAAGGCGTACCTCCAACAACTTGGACAAGAATTGCCAAAACCCCGTTCAGATTGTGACTTTCTTTGCTGTTGCGATCCGGAACCCTGGGTTCCTTCTCGGTGTCGACGGAATAGGCGCGCAAAGGATACCAAGCACTCGCACCGACACAACCCTTTTGAGGACCAGCAACAGGACTATGGGGAAACGTCGGGCATGTGCTCTCGACAGCCAGTTGGTCCTGATTGTTTTAGTACACCTATTTATACACACCCATCTCTTACAGACCTCTAGCTGGAGACTTCGCTGGCCTTTTGCGGCGCCTTCAGCTCATCAGATGTGAGCGTTTGTCGCATCAGAGCGCTCTCTTGCTTCAAAGCCAACTTCGCAGTCTTCGGATCCCCGAAGCTCACTCTGCCCTCTGTGATTGTAACGTCGTCCAGCTCGCCCAACTGCCGTAGCTCCCGCATCATGTACGCCACGACCTGTGCAATGTCCGCAACGTCGACATTCTCACTGGCCTTGAAGACATTTCTCCAGATAGCAGCTGCCATGACGGCATCTCCCTTCACCAGACCCTCGTCATATCCCAACTGTACACCTCGCCACTGTAGCCACAAATCTTTCAGATTCTTGTTGCGCACGCCGCGGGAGGACATGCCATGCCACGTCGCCATCCGGTCCTCTGCCGCGTAGAAGAAGTGGTCGAGCAGATTCTGATGCCAATCCTTCACGTACTTGGCCGGGAAGCATCGTAACCGCACGGTGAGCATCCACATGTGGAGATACAACACTTGTGCCCACGAATTGAATGTCGCATCCAGCCCCAGACCTCCCTTCTCTTTGGGTTCTAACCACCATCCGATGCCCTGGCCTAGATGATCTCCTGCTTCGTTTGTGGGCGGTGGGGCGGGAGGCGTTTCCAGCGCCGAAGGTATCGTATAGCTGCATTGGCGACTGCATTGCAGGAACAGGTCTTCGGTGCCTCCGTACGCAATGTAGGGCTCTGTTGTGCTTCGGAAGACGCTGCTGGATGAACGCAGCGAGGATGCAAAGTTTTTGAGGGCTTCAGGAGACGGTCCTTTGGCTTCGTACGGTTGTTGCGGTGGTGGTGGTGGCCTGAATAACTTCTTCTTCTCTTCCTCCTCCTTCAGACGGTAATGGCTCGTTGTGAATGATCGATGTGCAGAAAGCGAAACGCGCGAGCTTCTGGAGCTGGTCCGCTGTACGATTCGTTGATTCTGGCGAATAGCTCGCAGGCAGGACGTGCAGACAGTATTGTTTGCCATGTTTGCGATCGCCACAACGAGCAAGAATGTTCGTTTCGAATGCAATGCATCGAGCCTCGAAGAAGTCCATGATCTCAGTGTTTCCGGCTTAATAAGAATACGAACCCGAGACCGAGAAAGGAGGCTTCCCCTACTGTGCTACGGCTTTCACATTTCTATCTTTGAACATGTATCTCAAGACATCTAGATAAACGTTGAAGTTGTTTGAAAGCGCCGATCGCTATGCTTGCGATCAGACTAGACCAGTTACAATGCACGATTTCCCACCGCGTTGATAACAACAATTCAATACACCATACCACACAGCGCTCCACCACATCGCATACCACACACCCCACTACACTCACAAAAAATCACCAGCCGCAAACACGATGGATGCGTGAAGACCAGGCAACATCAACCTAGTTGCTGCTCCTCCCATTCACGCACAACATCCCTAAAAGAACCCCAAGAAATCAGGCAGCCCTCCCAAGGATTAAGACTCGCCAAGACATATCGCAAGTATCGAGAAACGGTGGAGGACATGATGACTGAAAGGCACAAAACAATGGCACAAAGTCAAAGTGTAAGAACAACCCTTCACCCACGTCATAAAAGATACTTCACACGGCCTTCTGCTGCCCAAGAAAGAAAAGAGAGAGCCCTTGTCCGAACAACGGCTTCGAGAGCTCTCTCCCCCCCTCATCCTTCCGCCGCAAGTGACACACACACACACACATACACACAAAGCTTCTCCACTTCATCATCAAACTCCACCTCAGATCGCGAGCGCCCCTATCGCTTCTTCTCCTTCGTCTTCTCCCAAGAATGTCCAGAGAAGCATAAGCATGCCTTTGCCCTGCTCAAGCAAAGGGGACCGAATGAATCATTGATCAATTGGTTGGCCAATTTGAAGTGCCGACGGAAGCAAAGATGATACAAACACAAAAAGTTTTGAAGCGTGCCGCCCATTTCTCGCCGCCGTTCGCCACTGCCAAGTCACAATGAAGCGCCAGAGTCCCATACACCATTTCGAAAGAAAGGAAAACTCCGGTGAAAATGCAAACGTCGTTGTGGTCGTCGGCTTATCGAACATAAGCCTCGTGTGTGTTGTGGTGGCATACTTTCAGGTCTTAGATGGGGAAGTTGCGATCGTGTAGTCGTCGTCACTGTAGATTTAGGTCGTTGGTATTTCGGACATGATGAATTTAGCGCTGCGTATACTCGTCAGTCGTGTCCAATAGGGGCCTGAATTCAGGATGGGCTTACTCTGCCTCGTCTGTTCCCACTCATTTGTCCTTGCATTTGTCCATGCATCTGTCCTTGTGGGAAGTACTGTGGCATTCGATATTGTCCGTAGCCGTTCATGCCGCCAGCCATGCCCATCATTGGTGCACTGAAGCCTTGTTGTTGAAAGCCGGACTGCATGCCCACGCCCGGTGGGATGGACCCATTCATGCTCTGCCTGTACGGGTCCATCATTTGAGGGGCTGGCGAGCCTGAGCCGTAAGGCATGCCATTCGCCATGCCTCCAACGGGCGTGACACCTCCGGGGCTGCCGTAGAAGCCGGGAGGTCTCTGCATTTGTCCCTGCTGTGCAAGAAGAGCTTGCTGATATTGAACAGGATTGATCGGACTGATGCCAGCGCTCGACATGGCCGGACTGTGTGTGTACTGCTGGACATACGGGTCAAATGCATTTGAGTCCATGCTGACGGTGCGTTGCAGGTTTGGGCTGATACCTTGCTCAATCTGTACCTGTGGCTGAGGAACGCCGCCATATGCAGGACGTCCATAGCCATTTGAGCCCGTATCCAAGTGCGGTAGGTGTCCGTTGATTTGTCGGCCCTTTGAACCCGAGCGGCCGTCATGGCTGACTGGTGTGCCGCCATGGCGGGTAGAGAGGCCGACCTCATCCATTAATCGCTTATAGCCCTGCGATGGCTGAGCTTTGAGTCGGAGAAGTACATTACGAACATTTTCCAGACACTCAGGTCGAATATTTTCGTCAAGGAAGGGAGTGGTGAGAACCTTGAAGATCAAAGTGGCCCCGCAGGTGTGGTCGCTGATTATGTCCGTGAGTGTCTGCTCTTCGAAGAAAAGAGCCTGCAAAATGCTATCGCGCGCATCAGGCTCGTTGCGCTGATTAATAATCTTTAGTACCGTCAGGTATGCAACCTTGTGAGTGCACAGGTGGACCAGGTGAGGGATTATTCGGGGCGCAAGTACGGATCGGCGTTTAGGAAAGGTGCAGGTGTCCAAGAACCAAGTCAGGAGTAGCGCACCATTAGAGTTAGTCGCAAGCTGAACACTGTGCAGCGCAATGGCAGCGGCCATCAATCTCTTTTGGTCGTTGGTCGCGAAGTGACTCTCCAAGCAGGCGCGCATGGCACGAGCACCGAATCGGCCCTGAGCAACGTCCCACAATTTGGCAATCATCGTGTCGAAGATGAAGTCGTTCAGTGGTGACTGGAAGCGCAAGCAGCATTGCATCACGTAGTTGCCGTATTGATCAAGGAAGAGGTTGACGCCGTGAGGCTTGAGAGCCTCAACGACCATGTGCATCTGAGCCGGCGTCCTCGCAACGTCGATGATCTTCTGCGCGGCCCAAGTACCATTCTTGTGAACACCGATCTCAGCTATATGCGGAGCGATCTCCTGCAGCATAGCCTCCTTGGTCTCCTCTGAACAGTGCTCGAAAAGCTTCTGCACTACTGTGTTGCCCAGGTAGTCGGATGAGAGCTCTGCGATCTCAGGGAGCATATCCATAGCAATGCTTTCGATCTCAATCGCAGTGCAGGAGTTGTTATCGATACGCTTCCGGATCTCACGTAGCCGTGGAGCATCATGTACACGACTGTGGCTGGGCTCGGGAATACCTGGAATCTCCAATGTGTAGTCCTCGAAACTCATAGCTCTCTCGAGGTTGTTAGCCATACGGCTCTGATCTTCCTGAGCGGCGCCAAATTGCTGGACGATGCTGTTGATCTCCTCACTCAGGTCAAGCAGATTTGGAGTGACAAGAGCAGCGGCAGCAGTCTCCGCATTGATGCCGGCGCCGGAGGTCCCCGTGAGTGTGCTATCGATTCGAGTCTTGGAAACAAACGGATCGGGACTTGGTGATGGATATGCGCCATTGGCACCAGGAGTGTTTGAGGCGCTCTGCTCCTTAGCGAAGCCGATCCTAATGGCACCGCACCCAGGGAAGATTTCCTTTCCATTGCACTGTGCCTTTGCAGCAATGGCGCTTTGCAAGTTCTCGAAATTCACAAACCCACAGCTCTTGTGGGTCAAGACCCTCGCAAACTCGATCGGTCCAAACTGGCTGAAGATGACATTAAGCGAAGAGACTGTGGTCGAGGAAGGAATGTTGCCCAGCCACAGCGCCCTGGTCGGCGTTTCCAGATTGCCTTCCGCTGTTACTCCTTCATACGATGCCTTCTTGTTGAGGTTCATGTTCTGCACGGCGGTAGCGAGTCCACTAAACTCGGAGCCATCGTTGCTTTGCAGATCTGATGCGCTGATGCTGTTGTCCAAGCGAGATGGAGTGGGCATATAGTTCCTGAGCACGCGCGACGAAGGTGAATCTAGCACGCCTGCAGTTCGAGCCCTCGGCCGGTTCGCACTGGCAAAGTTTGCAAACGCTTGTACTTCCAGGTTGTGTTGCCTTACAGCCTCGTGGATGGCGGCAGCCTGGGCAGCAGTCGTCTCTGCATTCGGCGTCAAAGTTCCAGAGTAGAGCTGCTGTTGTAATTGCTCGTACTCGTCCAGGTCCTCGTCAACACCGTCGGCATATTTCTCTTTGGCGTTGACCGAGTACGATCGGAATCGATTGGCGGTATTCCTGTTGTTGAAGGCATTCAGAGCTGCGAGATCTGCAATCGTGACGCCGTTGGATCTCTGCTGGTTCATGAGCATCTCCATGCTATTCCGGCCAGATTGCGGTGTATCGACCAATCCCAAGTAGTCCAACGTCTTGACATCATTCTCCGCCGGCGACTCTTCAGAAGAACGAATGGTCGTCAAGGAGTTGGTCGTGCCGGCTCGTTCTCTGCCCTGCCCATCTCTACCAGCGGTGTAAAACAACGGATTGCCGAAGAGGGTTGAGGAACCCATAAACGCAGCCCTCTGTGGCATAGACCCAGCTCTTAAGCGTGACAGCAATGCGGCATTGCTCGACGGCGGCGCTCCACTGGAAGCTTGCTGATCGGCTAGTGACGGTGAGCCGGTCTGGTAGGGACTACCAGACGGGGTCTGTCGGCCTGACTTGGACAGGAGCGAGGTTTGGGAATTGTTTAGCGAACCCATTGGAGGAAGACGAGATGGTACAGTGCCGGCTCGTGTACGTCGGACCGAGTTCGATGCAGATAAGCTGCCTGGGCTTCCTGTTGATGCTTGGACGGCGTCGAAGTCGGGAAAGCTATCGCTGCCGGGAGACTCTGGTATGGTCTCACGCAGTGGTGTCGAATGGCCACTTCCAGTCGTTGGAGGGCCCCAGGGATTGGGCGATAGACCTTCCTGTTGCTGTATCTCACGTGCACTACCAAGATTAGTGTATAGCCCTCGAGCTAATGACCACGATGGCTTACTTACCGCTTTGGAAACAAACGACTCCCGGTATAGTCTTTGGATGGAGAGCCAGCTCCTGCGCGACCAGTGCCTGCCTGGCTGCCACTGCTCCCTAGCCCATTCCCAAACGGATAGCGAGTGCCTGACCCTGCAGGCGGTTCCAGTGGCGAGTTGGCCTGCGACGTGTTTGCTGATCGCGTCTGGCCCATGTTGAGTTGAGGCAGGCCCTCAAGATTGAGCTTGTAGTCTGGACGGGAGGAGGGCGCCATTATCAATTAACTTTGCAAGAAGTGTATCGAGCCTCAAAGGAGTGTGGATGGACTGTGCAACAGTCTATAGCGGGCAGGTGTGCCAAAAATGTACAGTTTGTGCGTGCGTGCGTGTCCGTCGAGGCCTCTGCGCTGGGAGTCAAGGCCTGCTTGTCATGTGATCCTGCACCTTTGGTGGATATATGTGCGGTGCCAGCCAGCCTGCGAAGGCTGTTGGCGGGGAAGTGGAGGGTGGTGTGGCCAGCGAGGAGGGTAGCGGATAGTGCTCGCTTGCAACCTGATCTTTTTCGACGTGCTGATCTCTTGGGTGGATTGTGTCCAGGGCGGGCGGCTACTCGCGTGCGCAGCAGTGAAGAGCAGCAGCTACGCTAGTGGCTACGTAGCCTCCTGAAGCAATGAATCGCCGGCGGGCCGGGAGTGCAGCAGCAGGGAGTCGGTGCCGGGTATCGAGGTGGTGAGGAGCGGATGAAACTCGTGCGGTGTCAGGGTCGATGAAAGGGAGGGCGGTCGGTTGGGAAGAACGCTGCGGTAGGCCAGGTACGAGAGAGGGCGGTTTAACGATTAAGCCGGATGCTCATCAGGATGCAGTGGAATAAACAGGTCGTCGTCTTCGGGGGGTTTCGTGAGCCGCGGAGGTGGGTCGCACGCACCGCACTCGACACGATGGGAAGCGGACGATGGCTGGCGAAGGAGAAGGGCAGCTCGGCGTGCCAAGTTACGGTCCGGGCGAGGGCGAGATGCACGGCAGTGAGCAGGAAGAGCAATAATAGAGTGTGGTGTAGAGGGTGACGGCAGCAGCAGCAGCAGCAGCAGCAGCATCAGCAGCAGCAGCGAGGTCTGGGCCGCAGTTGGGGGTGGGCAGAATCGGCTTGGCCTCTCTGGGCTGGCGGAGCGGCCAAGACCTGAAGCACTAGTCCGGTAGAGCACAGAGCCCTTGTTTCGTCCCACCTCCGACCTCCGCCTGAAACACACTGCAGCTGCCAGAGGCCTGACGATGAAGTGAAGCTCCAGCTGCCAGAGGCCCTCACGAAGCGCCGACCACAGACGATATTCGCACCAAAACGACTACTATACCTCATCTCCCCATCACACACCGGCAAGACGTCCCCGCGCATGCGCCCACGTGAGCAGCAGCAGCAGCAGCAGCGACATGTGACATGTACCTTCCCGCCCAGCTTGACGGGCGTCTTCTCCTCGCTCGCGCCTCGTGACTGGCTGCATGCACGTAAGGCTGCGCTTGCCGGCAAATCTGAGACTGCAAGAAGACACCGACACCGTATCATTGGCATTCTTCACCGCTTGCGGCATATCCGCCGAGGCCTGCCGCAGGTTCGCCTTCTTGCATGTCATCAGCGATTCGTGATATTGCCTTCGTGCTGCAAGGAACGGCGGGACTCCATGGCACCTATCGCGTGCAGTCAAGGTGATTGTCCATAGTGATGCGTTACGGCGTTACAGCATCCCACCACGAAACAGGTCACATACAAGGCCCGATTCCATGTGCATGATGAAGGCAAGTCGTGAAGTGCGAATAAAGTTGCCCTCTTCGTGCAGATCGGCATGTGAACTTTGAAGCCTCGTGCGCGATCTCTATTTCACGTGGCGGCTTCCCGATGGGGAAGGAACTTGGCTGCGAGGCAAGAACGTCTATTCTGCGTCTGCCTAGTGGCATCCAATTCATATTACACATCGTATCAATACGAGCATCACTCATTGCTAACAGAAAAGCCACCATCGTGATGGCTGCCAATCCCCCCTAAAACGCCTCCATCACCAGAACGTCTGGAACGGTTCTGATCCTTAGCGGGCAAATACGGCTAGGATCTTGTCAAGGACAGCGCGGAACGCAGCGGATACCGCACTGACAATCGGCAAGCGATGCTCTTCACTGTTCGACTGCTCTGCCGTAGGCGGATTCTCTCTCGTCCGAGCTGCTTCATCTTCATCATAGTACACTATCACAAGTCAGCACATACACGATCGATGGTGTCGAGGCTAGCAACTTACCATGTGGCCGAAGAAACAACGACACCAAGAACGCTAGTCCGAAAGTCGAACATAAACATACGAAAACAGTTTGTCTGAATGACCCCACGGTTGCGGAGTAGATGGCGTTGAAAACTGCAGGCGCTACCACTCGGGCGAGAGCATGCAAAAGACCCATCGCTCCAAGAAGCTGACCAGTTCGTTCTGCTGGCACGTGCTTGGTGAGCGAGGACTGCAGGGTCGGGGAGCCAATGCCACCAATCGAGGCAATCACGCCAGACAGAATGAATGGTGGGCCAGTCCGGGCAAGCGTAAATCCCAAGAAGCCCAGTATGTCAAAGCAAATGGCAACTCGGAGCACAACCAGGTCAAATCGGTCTGAACCCTGGTGCTTCGTCTTCTTGGAGTCGGGCTTGCCTCTGAAGATTCGTGTAAGTGCCGGCAAAAGCACCAGCAAGCATATCACCCGACAACTATTAACGATCGTCAGGTATCGGCCAGACTCGAATGTCCTCCAGCCAAATTGGATGTTCATATAAATCACAATGACCGTCATGCTGCCCATAGCAACTCCGAACACAATCGTGTCGACGGCGGCGAGCACGAGCAAGTTCCTTCTTAGGGCCGGGCTAGATCCAGGTCCTGTGGGGTGCAAGATCTTCAGCGGTTCCAAGACATTCAATGCGCGAAGCTGATTGATCCAGTCCCACTTCGGATCCCTATCCGGGTCCCTCTTCGATAATACGTCCTTGTGACTCTCTCGCGCAACCACCTGTCGCTTCTCCGAAAGCGATTCAGGTACAACGAGAGCGACGAAAAGAATGAAGCCTATGTGAACGGAAGTCAAGATATAAAAGACAGCCACGATTTGGCCAGTCCACTTGACGATGTACCCGGCCAGAATGGGACCCAATGCTATGCCGGTGAAAAGCGAAGCGTGGAAGTATCCAAAAGCGACATTGCGTCGATTTGGCGGCGTGCAGTCAGTGGCGTAAGCGTTCGATATGGACATGGCCAGAATGAAAGATCCGGTCAAGCCATCCAGCGCGTAGCTCAGGAGAAGCAGATATACAGGGAAGGTGGCGGGGTATTTCGCTGCGGCGATTGTGACAATTTCACCCAGGACTGTCCCGATGCTGGTGATGATGAGAATCGGTTTCCTGCCATATCGATCCGAAAGAGCACCCAACTTGGGGCTGGTGAAGGCCGCAAGGATGCCCGAGAGCAAGTTGCCCCAGAGGGTGAACTGAGCAACTCTCGACTGCACTTCGGGTATGCGACATTGCAGATTGTCGCCGTCGTTGAAGTCTACTGGCACCCTCGTGAAGCCCGGATGGTGCATCATTCTCTCGCTGATGTATTCCCGGCATATCAGCTCCAGTATGAGGTTCAGCTTCGGTGTGATGATACCTCCAAAGGCGCATGCCATGACGAAGAAGGGACCGATGACCCAGAAGATCGACGGCCGTTTATACCACGGCAAGTGTTGGAAATCTATGCTCCCCGGCCATGACGGTCGTCGGTCGACCTCCTCATCGTCTTCTCCATCTTCTCTCCTCCTGAGCAACGGCGATTCCTCGTCAGCCTCATGGCGCTCCTCGACCTCTGCATACGAGTGTGTCGTGATGCCTCCTTTTGCTGCTTGCGCCGCCTGTTCGCCCCGTTTGTGCTTTCTATTCTGCTGTTCCCGTGCCAGAGCTTCCGCATCCAATGCCACCTCCGCTTCGATGATCGGGTCGCCGGCGTCCATGGCGGTTGCGCTGACCTACAGCGGTCGCCGAGTGGATGTCTCGCTGGGGGACCGTGGCGTACCGGCCGCCTGGCTGCGTTCAAGATTGGAGACGTGAGTTTGTCAAGCGCATGCCTTCCAGAGTGTGCCTTGCGTGACGCCGAAGTGAGTGGATGAGGGTGTTATCGCATTGTCGAGCGAGGGGAGTGGTAGAGGCGGGCAAGATAAAGATAACAGCAGTGTCTCGGAGAGGGTGGAAGGATCCCCGAACACCACTACTGATGCCTGAGGTGGACTCTGCCACTTTTCTGGACTAGAAGAGTAGGCCATACGTCTGGCCGCGGGCGAGAGTCCGTTGATTGCTAATTCCGCGAAGCATCCAACGGCTGGCAGCTCACAGAGACGAAAGCTTCCCGCGAGCTTTCCACGGCTGTGGCCCTGTTGTGCTGTCGCTCTGTCCGACACTTCATCATCCCTACTCCTTGCACCATCCCACACTACGCGGACATCTCCCATTGGCAGCGCGTGTGCTTGAAACCTCTCGCTTCCCCATCACCGGCTTCATGATTCGCGACGCGATACCGTCCACGACGCCTCGCCAGGACCTCGCCGGCCGATGGGCGCATGCGCGTGTTCATGAAGTCATTCATCTGCGGACGATCCAAGATTGCCTGCAGTAGCGCATCTCGCTGCGGCCCACGGGGAAACCGTCACCCCGACTCCGCCGGCGTCACTGGAAGAAGAAAGCAAGGCCATGTGTTCACCTGCATGGGCAAAGTCAGCAAAGTCGGACCATTCTAACGCGATGCTGGTCCTGGTCTTGGTCTTGTTCCATGGAGCCGGAATCTGTTTTATTCTAAGGCCAGGCCGCGAGCTCCCCCGAACATCTCCAACCAGGCCATCCAGGTACAAGAACTTTGCTGGAAAGTTGAAACCACCACTGCACCCCCGAGCCGATCCTGCTTTTTCTTGAACGCGCGAATGGTCTCTCGCGCTTGACGCGGGCGTGCAAAGCCTTACAAGGCGATCTTCCAAACATGCGGGTTTACGTCTCGAATCTCACAGCGAACTGCTCATTCGCGGCGCGCTTGTTCTGCCCACGTCTTGTCCTGTGGGTCTGACTGACTAGGTGGAGAGATAAAACCGTGAGCATCTGCTCAGATGGGTAACGGTGCGGTAGACCTCTGGCGTGACGAGTCTTCTTCTGCTGCATCTCCAGCGTCGACCACCTGATCAGACCCGCCCTCGCCGCCCTTGGCGCGTTACTCCAACACATGATGGATCTCTGTAGCGTGGGCTGCAACGCCATTGTAATAAGAGTATTTAAACAGCCGTAACTGCTTCGCCACGGCGCTTGCGGAAGTCATGCGTGCCAACTTGGCCAGGATGTCTACCACAGTCTTGGAAGGCTCACGAAGCTCTACCACGGCTTCCAAAGTAGGTTCAGTATAGCCACCCTGCTGAACAGCTTACCCTAACTTCAAAAGCAACAGCATCGCGCCACGAGCGAACAGACAAATGACAGTTGTCCACTATTTCGCATCCCAGCAGAAATTCGAAACCAAATATACAGCCTGGTCGTTCTGAAACCCTTCGCGATAGACATCGTCGGTGGCCGAAATCCACTCAAACCCTCCCCACGCACATCTCAACCAGCCCTTACAAAGACATGCCGCAGGCTACGTCGCGAGGCCCTACCAATGTTCTACGGAGGCCAGGCTTTTGAAATGGACGGCACGAGGTATTCGCCTTATCTCCGTCCAACGGGCATGCTTCATACTCTGGAAGAAACAGAGTTTCAGGGTACGATGGAAAGGAATCGAGAGACGCTGCTGAGCTTGGAGACTGTGCGAAAATGGCTACAGCAGATTGGAGCGACGAATCGAAAGCTACTCGGTGAGGTGTTCATCTGTTGTTCGGAGGAAGATGCAGGCCAACTTTTGGAAATCGCGACGATACGATTCGACTTTGGAACAGGCTGTTTGACCAAGTCAGCTACGTATCCGCTCTTGAGCGGCTGGGAATGGACTGGACCTGCCAACGAAGCAGATGTAGCATGCTTTGCGAATGAGCGGTACGGTGCTGGGCTCAGGCATTACAAATTTGCACTTACGAATTAGGTGACGTGGGAGACATGGGAAAGTCGGCGATACTAGACATCGAATAACAACAAAATGGCAGATCATTTCCTCCGGGTCTCTCCCCAAGACGCTCCCCCCTTTCAGCAAAATGAATTCATTCTCACATGTGAGTGATCCGGCAATACTTTTAGCCGCGTGGTCCAAGTTTAAGGTATCGCGTCCGCCTTCCATGCGAAGACCTTACAGGATCACAACTCATTTCGACAACAAATGCCGCCTCGATTTACCACCATGTGTATGACTCTGGCAGATCTTGAAGGGCTGCGCAGGAAGACAGCAAACGCAGAAGCCCCACTCAGTATGTTCAAGCTCCAACTCGCCGAGACTGGGGCCTCCGCCAACGACAAGTTCCGCATGAGGCCATTCATCCCTCACAAGTTGGATTCTTGGTAGGAGTATTTCAAGGCCAGGTAATACGTATTGCAACTCTCTACTCATGGGCGCTGCCTTTTCAAGGGCGATGCGATCGGGGTGCACGTAATCGCTGCTTACTTACCCTTTGCTTTGCCTTCCAAGGAGTTCCACCACTCGAAATCGACATGGCCGAAGCTCACGGTTTCTTCGACATACATCGATGCGATTTCGAGAACGCGAGAAATGGCTCAACCGCATCGACATTCGCTTGCTGCCTGAAGAGAGAGGTAGAGATTACCATTGAGCATACCTCGGGCACTCGACCATGGGCCTCTCAAGCAGAAAGGTAAAGAATTGCGGATCGAAGGACGATGTAGGATTTCCTTTCACTGTTGGATCTCGTTCTGAGACATAAAAGTTTTCATGTGGCAAAAGACTCGTTCTTTCCACCGAATTCCAGTCTTTGTAAAGGCTGAGCAGTGTAAGACAAACACAAACACAGAGAAGCCACTTAAAGTCACAGATAGCACGCTCACCTCAATCGTTCCAACAAGATGCCTGCTACAACGGAGCAAGAGGTGAACTTTCTGCAGAGGCGTATCGCCGATCTGGACGGCCAGCTCAGCGCCTTCAAACAGCAGCTCGCCCAAGCGGAGTCGCAACTCTCTAAGCCAGCTCCAAACGAACAGAACCCACGGAGCGAGATCACGGATGTAAGAGACCCAGACGCCACGCGATTGATCTTTGCGCTAATCTCACTCCCAGGAGCTCTATCAAGCTCTCGAGGCAGATAACTCAGAGTCCTCATCCTTCCTCCGACTCCCTGCCGAGCTTCGCAACAGCATTTACGAGCTCGTCCTTCCGCAGAACCGAACGCTTCGCGTCAATCGCCACACCAAGACTAACAATGTGGGCCGCATCGTAGCAGACTGGCATCGCAGCTTCTTGGATCGTCAGTCCCTCCAGCCTGCGCTCCTCTACGTGTGTCGCCAAACCCGCCGTGAGACGACGCCCATGTTCTACCTCCACAACTCCTTCGACGTGAACGTGGCGGAAACCGAGGACTTCATGGACCTGCGCAAGTACAACTTCGCTAGAGCGGAGAGCTGGCTGTGCAACGTTCCGCATGCCTATCGAAGCCAATTGCGACTCACCATCAGTGTCTACCCGAAGCGAGGTGGTCCCGTGGACACTCAGCGGATTCTGAGAACCATTCTCAGAGTCAAGCATGGCGTTACGCTCGGCCATTGGTTTTCTGCTTGGTTCGTGGACCTCCGTGGTATGAATTTGAGCTTCGAAAATCCGGAATGGAATGACCGACACTACTATCGCGTACGCTGGGTGGGTCCTCGTTGATGCTGCAATCGTCAAGACCTTTGCAAACACTCAGGGGCACGGGAGTTTTCTAAACCGTTGAAAGCGGCATGTTTCTAGGCCGTTGAATGCGGCATCCCGGCGAGACGGACCAGCTGGATGATGAGAGCGATGCAAAGATCTAGATAGAAGAAAGAAAGTCTTGGCCTTCCTTCTTGTCAAGCGTATCGCTCTCGTAGAAACACTGAACACGCAAACCCTGTCTCGAAGACTTCTAGTTTTTGATCATGCACTGACCTCGGCCAATTTGACATGAGATGGAGCTGAAGAATGCCTGACAGAAATCTCCATGAATCTCCGCCAGCATTGCTGCGTAGTTGTGAGAATGTTGTCATCCGCATGTGACTGCCACGCTAGTGAAGCTTCGGAGCTCGGACCCCGCTGGCTGGGTCAAAACTTCAATCAGCCGACTCGAACACTTCCGCAAAGTCTACGGATGGGCGCCAGTTTCACTGCTTTTGTCCAGCTCCCATCTGAGCTTCGCAATCATATTCAGGAGCTCCTCGTCTTCGTAGATGATGAACCTCTCAACATCGCGAGAAGAGCAAGCGGAATAAACAGACGTGGGCGCATTGGTCTCTCGGCCTACCTTAGTGTCTAGAGCCCTCCCCTTCGCCGAAGTCTCACGTCGGTTGCGTGCCGAAGTATTACCCATTTTCTGCAGCGAGAATACTTTCTAGATCTCCTTCGAACAGCTGCCTTTCCATCCTCGTTGATTTAATCCAATACATTGAGATTACGCCGATCAAAGAAGGAGCGCTACGACCAGAATCTGCGCCGAGACAGCCGTGGTTGCTTTTCGCTGGCTGCGTTCACGATTGGCCAGGTATCCCGACTCCATGAAATTGCTCTTGTGCCTCGACATGGAGGAGCATTCATCTCTAAAGTAGAGGCTTGGAATGAGGATGGGAGTGGGAGATAAGCTGCGGCCGGACATCTGGACTTTGAAAGCGCACGTGTCTGTACTGCAGGCATAGCGCGAAGACTCTCAGGTAATACCGACGAACGGGAGAAGAAAGAGAAGAGAAGTGGTCTCACAACAGGGGCAATTAGCAGTTGCCACGGGAACAACACTTTGGGATATCATATAGAGTATCGAACCTCGCATTCTCATCTCAAGCTTCCTCCGTCTTCACATCATCATCTCTTGATTTCGCCGGCACAAGAGCAGTCGCAGGCGCTCCAAATCCTTCCGGCACGCCCTTGGCAGGCCGTCCCAGCGGCCCATAGTCTGGACCCACGAAGGCGCCCAGAATCCGGCTGTACTGACAGCCACCGGCAAGAAGACGCTGAATCATCTTGTATTGCTGCATGTCAAAATAAGGAAGTCCAGTTTTCGGATCGCGATATTTCGCCTTCCAGCAAGTCAGAGCACATACAGCTCTTGTAGGTGCAAGTGGCATGCCACTCTTTTTGAACTTGCCAGTGAGATAGCGAACTTCGTCAGGTGTGAAGGAAGGGTATGATTCCGACATAAGTGTTGATGCGATGGGTGTAGGCTCTGTGGACATGTCTTGCGTTTTCTTCGATGCGCCGCCCCGCTTGCCTGCGGTAGCATTTTCGAGGTTCTCGAATTGCTCGAGTATGACTAGCGACTGTCGGGCCTGCTCTTTGATGAGTGGAGCGGGCGGCGCTGGAGGAAGCGGAGGGCGTGGCGTTTGAGGGTGTTGAAGATTCCACTCATGGTATCCGGTAGGTGGCAAGCCATGATATATGGGCGGAGGGTGCAGTTGGGATGGATTGGATGGAGCAGACGGAAGCTTCAGAGGCATCGTTGGATACTGCGCAGAAGGCGGCTGTACTAGTGCGTTGATAGCAGGTGCACTAGGAGTGTAATTTATTGCTTGGTCAATTGGTTTCGAGGTGGTTAGACTTAGAGCAGGCGGTGCAGAGTCAGGCTGCTGTGCTGCGTACTCTTGGATACCCTCTAGCCACGAGACTTGAGCAGGCATTTCCGTCGAAGCAGGAGGAGCCTGCAGCGCCAGAGCGGGTGGTGCGAGAGGCTGGCCGGTGGCTTGTAGTTGAGCAGTGGAATTGGAGGTTGGAGTAGCAGGACCTGGTATAGACAGATTCGTCTCGTCCGTTGGCTTAGACCCGGTCTTATCTGGCGGAACGTCTCCATTGGCATTTTCAGCTTCTTTGGTTTCGTATCCAATCGTGTCGAGATTCTGACTCCCATGCAGCCGTTTGATCTTGATTTTATCGCCCTCCCAAAGCACACTTCCACTCCAATTCCTGATGATGGGCCCGTCAATACCCCTCTTACGTTTGGCAGCGAGCTGTTCCTCTCGTATTCGTTGTCTCTCAGCTTCTTCCCTCTCCCAGCGTCCAAATTCCCTCGCAGTCTCTTTCTCGATCCTGGTCGCCTTCGCCAGTCTCTCCTCCTGTGTGAGTTCTGCCCTCTTCTTCGCCTGCTGTCTCTCCGCATGATTCGCCATAACCCGTTTTTGCTTCTCCGAACGTATTGCCGATTCCTTCAAATTCGTATGCACCACCTCTCTGTTCGCAATCGCTGAAGCACGCGACGATTGTCGCACCGGCATATCCGCAGCAGTAGGTAACCAGTTGGACCTTTCGCTCTTCTTCTTTGGTCTGGCGGGCGCCCCATCCTCGGTCTTGACATCGTCCGCAAGCTTGACTTTCTTTTTCTTCTGCCATGCTGGAAGCCGCATCTTCACCTCGTCCATCTTTCGCTTCTTCCTCGCCTCAGCACGCTCCGTTTTCTTCAGCTCTTTTTCCCCTTCGAGGTCCTCCTTGTCGCCTTCTTTGGGCGGACCAGCATCTTCATCGTCACTCGACGATTCCATTGCTTCGTCGTCATCTTCGCGATCTGAGCCTTCATAGTCGCCCGCATCCTCTTCATCTTCCGCTAGAAGCTCCTTTTGCAATTCCTCATCATCAAGATTCGCTCGAAGAGTCGCGTAGAGATTTCCGGCAGTAGACCGCTTTGCGCGCGTGGCGATGAGGCCGGTGGTATCAACAGCCTCGCCATCGGAGCTAGAGCTGTCGTCATCCGACATCGTGATAAGGCTCGAAGAAATCAATAGTCAAACACGAAGGTTGAATGGCGATGAGACTCGCGTGCCTCATCGCGGGGCTGCGGCCGAAACGCGAAAGCGAGCGGCCGATTCCGTGGTTTAGCCACGAATGATTGAGGAGAGTATAGTAACGGTCGATGTCTTTTTGATTTGCAGAAGGCTGTGTTATTCAGATTCAGATCTTACAAGGAAGAGTGCCGGTGTGAAGCATGGCGTTTCTCCGTAAGGGGAGCAAAGCTCTGCCACCGGTAGGGACGCTGAGATGATTTCTATAGACATCTCACGAGTACAACACTTGAACTACGGAGGTGGTATCAAATCCAATCCTTCCACTGTCAACTTGAATGCATCGTTTCTTGAATAACTTCCGGCGACGTCGAGATCAAGTCGACCTCGCTCACAGTCCTCGAAGTCGCAGTCTTGCATCAGAAGGCCTCCATCTTCAATCTCCCACAAGGGTCCAGCCATTACTTCGCCCATCGGGCCAGTGATACAGCTACCGCCTCGGCATACGAAGTCCTCGCCATTTGTTCCACTCTGGCTGGTCGTTGGATTCTGTACGACGGCGTCCGCCTTAGAGGTGATCGCAGAAGATGAGTCCAAGTTCTCGTCCATAGCTGGAAGGACAAGTTCGTGGTTCTCTTCCTTGACAGTAACGGTAGACCTTCTGCGACCTCGTTGAGGAGATAGAGAGCCATTGACGATGGATTGTGTTTGCGTAGATCCGCTTGTCACATCTCCCGTGATCCAGTCGGGTAGATGCTTCCTTCTCACGCAGGAGATAGCACTTAGCACAAAGCATCGTCCCTCATTGCCCACAGTCCGCATCAAAGGTAGCCATGTATCTCTTGCATCGGCCGTCGGAGCAAGCCAGAGGTTCACGTTCTGTTCGTAGAGGGACATTCTCAGGAGAGGCATGAGATTTTCCCAACATATGGCCGCGGCCATCGTGAGCTTTACGCCCTTGATGGTTGTAGTGACAGCTTTCAGAGTCGAAGGTGATCCTTGTCCCCATACCAGTCTCTCCGAACCAGTAGGCATGACCTTTCTCCTCTTACCAAGAACCCCTAAGCGGGGACATACGTATACCACAGCGCAGTATAACGTTCCTCCACTCTTTTCAACCAAGCCCGTAACTACGAATACGCCAGTCTCTCTAGCAATTCTTTCCAAGAACTCGCGAGTCCCATCTCCTCTATATTCTTGCTCCCTCGCTACTGGAAGCTTTCTGTCCACCCAGTCATCTCCAGCTCCCAATGGCGTGTCCCCAAGGTCAACAGCGGAGCGGAAGTAGTGAAGGAACTGCTCTCGTCCTTCGCCAGATCGAGCTCCAACGGCCGCACCAAAGTCACATGTGCGTGGATAGCCGCCTAGATAGGCTTCCGGAAAGAGAATCAAGTCGACGCCTTTGCTAGCTGCGGATTTCGTGGTCTCTTCGAGAGATGCGAGCGTTTCTTTGAGGGTCGAGAGAGTTCGCGATTGGGAGACTGCCAGTCGGAGCTTCTGAGGCATATTGGTCTCTTCCGGAAGTATTCTCATGGCTGTGATATGAGTAGAACTAGAAAGTGAGATCGTAAAAGGTAGAGACAGAAGACTGCCCTGCTCACGCGCCCTACCTTTGTCATTTACCCCACTTTGATAGATGTGGTTCTGGCTCTGGCTTGACTTCAGGCCTTCACTTCTCTCCTCTTTTGAATCAACGATAAGTCAGCACAGTATCTTCTGTTTGCAGTAAGGGTAATAGCAGGAGCTTTGACAGTGTGGTTTAAGGTATTGATGATACCTAGTAGTAGGAGAAAGGTGGAAGGTATTCACTCACGATAGATTGGAATTAGCGCACTTTCCAAGTCCGGCGTAACGCACGAGTCAGGCGCCATCATCATCTGGGACAACACTGCTTCTGCCTTGGACGATCAACAACAGCATCACAATACATCAGATCTATCAACCAGAATGCCCATTGGAAATGACGATAAAGGCGTCTCAGGAGCAGTCACCACCGTAACCGGCACTGTGCGTTCTCTCCCAAATGTTTTACCACGGCAGCGTTGTCTGACATTCACACAGCTAGGAGCAGCCGTAGGCGGAGTGTCTCGCACCGTGGGAGGCGTTGTTGGCGCAGCCGGTCGTGGCGTCGGCGACACCATCAACAGTGAGCTGAAGATTCTCATGAACTGCTATAATATTTTCTGACTCGTTTCTGCTAGACACGACCGGCACCAAAGCTGTTGGCGACGGCCTTCAAGGCGTCACTAACGGTGTTGAGAATGGGACCAAGAACCTGGCTAAGGGAGTGGAAGATGGCTCTCAGGGCAAGCGGATGTGGTAGATGCCTATGAAACATAACGTTCGCTAGAGGATGGAATATGACCGAGACGACGATAATGACAGCATGACTTGATTGAGATGTTCTCACGATCCTTTGTCTCCACTACGCTGCCTTGAGTGCAGTGTCTCCGCCCATCGATTGGCTCGGTCGTAGCCGCCGCTAATGGCTGTCTGCCATCGATTCAATTGCGGGCCGACCGTTGTGCCAGGATGTTGGGTGCGCCACTACTCCTTCCAACTTCCAACCATTCCCATCATTCCCATTTCCATTTCGTTGCTCACAGAAGTCAACACAGTACTTGCACAGCAGTCAAGCCCAGGCAATTGAAAAGTGCAGAGATGCCTCATTTTCCAGAAACCAGCGCAGCCGCCAACAGATCACTCACTCTCCAACCTAAAAGACCTACCGCGGAATCAACGCAAGAAGATACCCGCATCAAGACCAAAAATCGAAGAAAACACTACCTTGACTTACATCCGGAATACTACAAACGAGACGACCTCGAACTCGCAGGTTGGTAGACGGATAATCTCACGTATCGCATTTCCTTCAACACCACACAAACGCCAACTTCTCATGGCAGATCCTCTTCTTTACGACCGTCTTGTGCGGCGCTTTATGTCTGCATCAGAACGCGAAAGGGAAGACCGCGAGAGAGGCTATAGTGGTATTCTAGAAGCCGATCTTGTGCGCTCCGAAGCAAAGATTGAAGCTCTTCAACACCCCGATCCGAATAGTCCGATGGCATATCGGAGAGCACCGAATGGGAGTATTGTAGCTGTTGAAGCGGAGGATGAGAAAGTGCTGGACAAAGAGGAGGGATGGAGGATGTGGGTTGATTACCAGACGCAGAGGTTCTTGAGGGGCGAGGATCAGGTAAGAGATTCTGTGATTGAGATTCGTTTGTATCTGTCAATTGACTGTGAGTGTGTAGAATTTTGATTACTCTGCTGTGGATGAGAACGATGAATACGACGATCGAGCAGAAGAGGATCGGAGTCGTCTGGACCAGTATTTTGCTCAGGAAGATGCTGAGTATGTAGGCGAGGGCACGCCGAAAGGAGAGACTGGGATTCAAGACTTTTGAGCAACGATGGCAAATGATCCTGACGGCGAAACGACAGACATATACAAAGCCTTCACCAGTCGAATAGCGGCCGAGGCCCTACCCAACTTGTCTCTTCAGCGCCAATGGCGCGCAAGATTTGGACCATTTCGTCGAAGATGATGATGAAGATGCGGCGGAATCCACTCTATTGATCAGAGGATGCTGCCAAACAGTTCGGCGAACTGCTCGCAGAAGGTTCATGGAAGTCTGTGAGGTGGAAAGGAGGAAGCGGGAGCAACAGGACGCGGAGGGCGAATAAGTCAATGCAGGATACGGAGTTAGCATCGAATGCGCTGCGACGAACGGGTACCCCGTCCAATTTCTTCGTACGTTTTCTCTTCCAACACCCAGTGACAGAAAGCTACGGTCAGCATCGAAGCTTCGCAGCGCTGCTACGTGCTCAGAGTATTATTGAGAACCCTACTTCCCCGCACAAAGCAAGATTTCATCCTGCAGATGGTGTCGAAAACCGACGTATGTTAAGACGACGCTCCGATATCACGGTCATGTGAAAAGAGCGCGGCGCGAGCACTAGCCGAACGCCGGTGAATGACCCCACATCATGACCCTGGCTGCCTTGCTGCTGCCTCAAGACTCACTTAACCGAGACTGATTCGGAAGCAGCTACCACTGCCTGATTAATAAGAAACATCAATTTTGGATATTACCCTACGGTCCCAGTTCTTCACGACAACGTGCGTCGAAGACGGAACAAAGCGCAGCCCTACCTCTCGCGTCTTGCAGGTACTGCACTCCAAGACACACACGTGACGTGTGTACTCAGGCCATTCACTTGCACGTCTCCACATCCCTGCGACTGTCTGATCTGAGGACACCGCCGGGCCTGTGCGTATTTAATAACTTTATACTTCTAGGAGAAGCCTACCTACAAGCGCCGCGACTTTTGCACCGACACCACCAACAACCTCGCATCACACCACGGCATCTCGAGAATGTCAAAGCGACAGCTACGCTCTGACACGGCAGGGGCAACAGCTCTGGCAACAGAGCTGCCGCTGTCAAAGAGGCAGAAGAAGGTCGCCCCGGTTCGCTACTTATGCTACGCCTGCGACGAGGAGAAGGCCGCGGGATCTTTCCCCGAGTATAATCCGAGTAGCGAGTGCGATCACTTGATTCATACATGCAAGGTACGTGCAGCGAATATGACCTACCATCATTGTATCTAGAATATACTCTAATGCGTCACAGAATTGCCTCAAGCAGTGGGTGAACACCCAAATCGAGGAAAACCTTTTCATTACTGGCGGCGAAGACGGCAAGGCCTACGGAATCAAGTGCCCGCAGTGCGACGAACTTATGAGGAACATCAACATCGAGCTGGCGACAACCAAGAAATTTCACCAACTTTTCGAGGAGCGAGAGCGTCACCACTTCGCCGAGATTACCCCAGGATGGCGATGGTGTCTGGCTCCAGGCTGCCGAGCTGGCCAGATTCACAAGAAAGTAGAGGCAAAGGAAGAGGCCGAGAACAAGGAACACCAGGAGACCAAGGAACATTCCAAGCCAAAGCGGAAAGGAAAGAAGACTCTGTGGCCATTCAGCAAGAAAACGGACTCCCAGGTGAAGACGTCGGAGTCCGCGGAGGATATCGAGAAGCAGGCGGACATCTGCACCTGCAATGACTGTGGCGCCAAAGCCTGCGTGAGTTGCGACCGCCCTTGGCACACGAGCGAAACCTGCGAAGCGTATCAAGCTCGCATCAAGGACCGAATGGATGAGGAGGATCGCACATTGAAGGCTATTGGGCGCCTGTCGAAGAAGTGTCCGGGATGCCAGAAGAACATTGAGAAGAATGGAGGTTGCCCAGCCATGCATTGTTCTGCCTGCAATGTGGGTTTCTGCTGGATGTGCCTCTCGATCTTCGACAACGGCTACTGCAAGTGCCATCCACGGCCACAGAGATGACCTCAGGCGATAGATTGCCAGAGAGAGATTCAGCATGGGCAGTCATCAGTTGTGCCGTGTCTTCCAGCAGGTAGTTGGTGTGTTGGCCGAGATAAGCCATTGCGACGCCAGCCAGAGGAGGTTCGTGGATCGAGGTGTAATGGCGGACCTTCGACTGCCGTGAGAAGAGGAGTGAAGAATGGGGGTGCTTTATTCGTGTGATCGGGCTTTCAGGCTGGGTGCCTGATGGGCTGAGTGGACAAGCCTCAGACACATGCTTGTCAAGTATTTAGTGTCCACCAGCGCCGCAATGGCATCTTCTCTTGCGTCGTTCCACATTTCATTTCCATGCTCCTGCTTGGGGTTCGGAGACGTGTCGGATTTGATGAGTGCTGATAACTTTCTGCGAAGCACTGACAGTACGATGCTTCCAAATGCACGACGGCACGGAAGTCAACAGACGTTGGCCTTGGTAATGTCTGGTCTTGGAGAGTGACGGTGGAGGAAGAATTGACCGTGTGCACGAATGTGAGGAGAAGAGAGGTCCGCGATTCACTCGGCTCTCAGAGGGCCCGGGCGACGGGGCTCCATGCAGTCCAAGCGTTACCCGAGTCAATACGTGTTGGTCAGGTGCGGGGATATCTGCCGAGCTTGTTGTTTTCGGTTCAATCATTAGGCCAACCATCACGGATAATGGGAGGATGCTCTGGAGGCTGGCCCATTGCCGCCGCGGTCTACGCGGTTCACTAATACACACGCAGGTCAGGTGCTCACCCTTCTCCTTGTTTTCATCCTCTCTCTTCCCGTCTGCTTCCCGAGCCTATACCCTCGGTATACCACCCTATATCTCACCGGCATTGCTCACTTCCTAGACGAGCTCAGCAGGCGCACCAGGACGGCGACTCTCCAGTTCAACCCATTGCAAGCACCCTCAGAGTCGTCGAAGATCAATCATGCCGTTCAAATCACCATCATGGGTGCCCCAACTCCCAGAAGTCCCCGACAGTATCTCGATCGAGCGCTTCATGTTCGACGAGAAGTATGGCCGCTACCCACTTGGCTACTCTCGACCGCCCTTTAGCTGTGCCCTAACCGGTCGGAGCTTCAGCGCACTGGAAATGAAGGAGCGCATTGATTACCTCTCAAGGGCATTGTGCAAGGAGTTCGGGTTCAAGCCGAACGAAGGTTCGGAATGGGACAAGGTTGTCGGAGTCTTTAGCTTGAACACAATCGACTACCTCACACTCGCATGGGCTGTTCACAGAATAGGAGGAATCACGACCTGTGTGAATGCGGCGTACAATGCCTCTGAGCTGGAATACCAGATGAATGATTCGGGAGCGAAGGCGATTTTCACAAGCTTGCCTCTTTTGCAGACTTGCAAGGATGGTGTGAAGAAGTCGAAGCTCTCAGATGACCGGATCTATATCTTGCCACTGCCTGAGGCAGTAACTCCAGGGATGTCTAATGGCAATCACAAGACCATCGACGATTTGGTCAAGATGGGCTCACAACTGGATCGAGGACAGGCTTCGGATGAGACTTGGGGAAGAGGCGAGGGTAAGAGACGTTGTGCCTTCCTGTGTTATTCTAGCGGAACCTCCGGACTTCCTAAGGGTGTCATGATCTCACACTACAATGTCATTGCGAATACGCTGCAAATGAACACGTACGAATCCACGGACCGACAGGAACTGAAGAAGAAGTTCAAGGATGATCATTATACCGAAAACTGTCTCGGCTTGCTGCCAATGTCGCACATTTACGGCTTGATCGTGATCTCGCACGTCGGCCCGTATCGTGGCGACGGCGTGGTCGTGCTCCCGAAATACGACTTCAAGTGGCTTCTTCAAGCGATTCAGGACCACAAAATTGCCTTGCTCTATCTGGTACCACCTATGATCATCCATCTTACCAAATCTAAGGAAGTCTGCAAGCAATATGACCTGTCAAGTGTTCGTGCTGCATTCACGGGTGCAGCGCCTCTCGGTGAAGAGACAGCAGACGAGCTCGCGAAGATGTTCCCTAGTTGGTCCGTTCGGCAGGGCTACGGCTTGACAGAGACTGCGACGGTCGTGAGCTCGACTAGTCCGCATGACATCTATTTTGGAAGCTGTGGATCTCTGATCCCTGGCGTCACTGCTCGAATAGTCACCGTGGAGGGCAACGAGATCACAGGCCACGACCAGCCTGGCGAGCTCTGGGTCAAATCGCCCTCTGTAGTACTGGGATACCTCAACAACGGCAAAGCTGACAAGGAAACTTTCGTCGAGGAGAGTGACGGCCGATACATGCGAACTGGAGATGAAGCACTTCTTCGCAAGAGCAAGAACGGTCATGAACACATCTTCATCGTCGATCGCATCAAAGAGTTGATCAAGGTGAAAGGACTGCAAGTTGCACCCGCTGAATTGGAAGCACACCTCCTCACGCATCCTGCTGTCAACGACTGCGTCGTGATCGGAGTGCCATCGGATCGTGAAGGGGAGATTCCCAAGGCGTTCGTTGTGAAGAACCCCAGCTCGAAGGAGGACGACAGGACATTGATCGAGTCTATCACGCAGCATGTCGCGACCCATAAGAGTGACCACAAGAGGCTACGAGGTGGCATTGAGTTCATTGATGTGGTGCCGAAATCGCCTAGCGGAAAGATCTTGCGCCGAATGATGAGGGATAAGGAGAAGGCCAAGATGAAGAAGCAGGGCTCGAAGTTGTAGACTTACTCATTGTGCATGGTGCCGACTTGTTCTCATTGCACGGTGGCGATTTTTAGCGAGGGCGTGCGTGCGTTGCAAGTTGCTGTACGATTCAACTGTCGAAAGTCTCTGGCAATGATCAATATAGTCAATTACTTGCTTCTGAAGTTCTCATCGACTTCCTTTCGCTTTGGTGCTGAGGTTGCGCAGACACGAGCTTCCCATTCTTGCGATGCGATACAGCTAGCGATCCACCTCTGCCAGACATCATAACACCCTCGTGAAGGAAGAATGGAAGCTTGGGACGTTGCCATGCTTTGTCGTCGGAATGCGTCCACGAAACCAGAAAGCGACAAGGCGTTGAGGAGGAAATGGAAAATGTACAAGCGTTAGGGGCGAAGCTTGAGGCGTAGGTGAAAGTGATTGAACGGGTTACTGTGGAGGAAATTGTAGGGGCTTTTGTCAGTCGGGCTGGGAATCAGCAGTGGCGGTGATGATGCTGATGATGAGTTCAGGAGAGATGCTGTCTGAACCATTCTCATTGCTCTATCTCTCGTACCCGCGCCTCTCATCATCATCATCAATGGACAACCCCAGCACTCGCCATCTGCGCCACATACTTAGCATACCGCCTCGCACTCCTGCGCCGCAACCCCTTCCCACACCTGACAAAAACGGCAAACGTCGCAATCTGCGCCATGCCCACAAACGCCGCCACCAGAAACGCATCCTGCAACCCCATGTGCGTAACCCACGGCGTGATGCCGTAACCCACGGCGAAACTCATCGTGTTGCGCACGAGGATGACCGTCACGATGGCTTCCGAGGCGAGGGCTTTGTAGCTGTCGATGCAGTACGCGACGGCGATCTGGAGGCCGACGGCGTTAGTGAAGGCGATGGTGCCCATGGCGAAGACGCAGCCGAACCAGTGCACGTGGTGCGCGGCGCCGACGCCCCAGAGGATGAGGCCGGCGGGGAGGATGAAGAGGGCGGGGAGGAAGAGCCAGAGGCGGTATTCGGGTTCGAGGATGCCCTTGTTGCGACGGGCGAGCTGGAGGAGGATGCGGTCGCCGAGGTAGCCGGTGTAGAAGGAGGAGATGGCGGTGCCGATGAGGGGGGAGAAGTAGGAGAGGCCGACCATGGAGGCGGCGAAGTCGTAGGGGGGATTGGCGAGGATGAGGGAGGACGTGCCGTTGAGGACGTTGAACCAGACGAGGTTGCTGCCGTAGCAGAAGCCGGAGTAGAAGATGACGGGGAAGGTGAGGAAGATGAGAGGGCGGGTGACCATGCCTAGGAGGCGGGTGGGTTTGCGAAGGTCTGCGGTTCGGAAGAGTTTGAGTTTGTCGATGTAGGTTTTGGTGCTTCGCTCGGGCTCTGGTGAGGGTGAGGGCGAGCTTGCGTCTTGAACTTCACGAGCCATCTTTTCGGCTTCCTTCGATACTGTGTCCGAGACAGGGGATGGAGGTGCTTCGATGGTGCCGACTTGGACCACACGGCTATAATTCGTCTCTTCGAGGAAGAAGAATAGAATGATCAATCCAATACCACAGAAGATGGCACACCAGTAGAGGACCCACTCCCACCCCTGGCCGTCCGCGATGAATCCAGCAATAATGGGCGCGAAGAAATTCGATCCGGCCAGCAGGAGTCCATACAACGCAATGTAGAACCCTCGCTCATGTTGGAAGTAGATGTCCGTAACCGAAATCTCACAGAGCGATTCGACCGGTGCACCGAAGAAGCCTTGGAGGACTTTATTTGCGATCCATTGGCTGTTGCTGGTGGTATAGGGCGCCCAGATCTGTATGGCCATGGTCGCTAGCAGGCTGAAGAGGTAGACCGGTCTCTTGCCGTACTGGATCGCGAGGGGTTGCCAGACAAGACAGCCCCAGCCGAAGGCGAGAAACATGTATCCCGTGCCGGCGTTAAGATCGCCGAGTGTGAGGTTTGTTGCGGCGGAGATGGGTTCGAGGATTGAGTAGATGGCCGCGGAAGCAATGCCCACCATGAGCGTGTAGATGCCCATGCATGTCGTCGACAAGGCCTTGCGAGAGGGAGACCAATTCAACTGTATTGTCTGTTAGTAGGATCAATCGTTAGGGCCAATTGGGGAAGACGTACAGGATCATCTGGGTCCGACGATGGCGCCGGGATCAGCACGATATCGCTCTTCGACCCTTTCGCATGTTTGGTGTGCATTGTCCCATCCAGGTCGACCAGCTGCACAGTTCCGGGCACATCAGTCCTGCCATCGTCTCCGTATCCATGATCATGCTGTATAGTAGCCATTGCGAGGACCGCGCCAGTTTAGTGAGAAGACGTTGGTTGGCTGCATGGCATCCTTTTCAACAAGATCAAGAACAGAGATAGGGCAACACGTCCGCTTGTAGCCCACCACTCCATCTTGCGCCCTGCATCATCTCGTGGAACGCGAAGCAGAGTGGCTCCTGTTGTGGCATGCTGGCCGAATCAGAGCAACGCTGATAAAGTGCTGATAAGCTCCAGCTCCCTCCTCTCAACCACCTTGCCAGCCCATCTGGGCGCCCGCATCCGCAAATGAGAACCGGATCGGAACACGTTGATGCTTCTGTTCAACGTTCATACATGCGTGCATGCTTACTACCCACTCTTTCCTAAGATACATTTTCCAGCAGCCGGTATCTGTCCGGCGCCTTGGAGTCTTCCGCCCAAAAACGCCCCTTATAGAGCTTCAACCCGGGATATCACATTGCTCCGTCAAGACTGAATGGAAGTCGCTAAAGTATGCGCAGGCAAGTAGAAAGAAAAGGTCGTTAGAATCATGTCGTTTATAATAGGAACGCCACGGCCGCCGAGACCATACCGGCAACGAGGGCAACTGTTGAGCGTGCTGCTAACGAGACGGCGCTGCTAGACAGGGCTTCGGTCGTGAAGACGAGTTCGAAGCCGAGGTCGCTGCTGTTGTAGCAATTCTGCGGCGTCACTTGCTCGACATCTTCAGGGTTGGCTAGAGTCACATCGACACACTGTATGAACATGTCAGCGAAGGCGCCCAGAGTCATTGCAATTACGTTCCAACATACGCTATAGAGCGCTGCGCCGTGTTGAGCAGTCTCAATCACTTGGATCGTAATGTTGTCGCCCACGGCGAGCGACAAGTTCGCCGGCATTCGTACTTGAGGTAGACAGAATTGGCCACCATACTCGCTGTTGTTCGGGCCTGTCACCTGGAAAGGCGACACGACAGGGTGGGAGTAGTTGGGCGGCGCTTTCTGTCCCTGCTCGGTAATGCCGATATTGATGTAGAAAAATGCCTTGGAATGACCGGGAAACCATCCGGGCTGTACCGATACTGCTCCTCCGCCAAAGGGCCATTTGGTCCGGTTCGTCGTCATGCCCATGCCTCCACCTGTTGAACGTTAATTGCTATCCATGTCCATTTCCACAGCATTGGCAAGCTTACATGGATACATCCACTGCATTCCATATGGGTATGACCATGTATCGTTCTCTTTAATGTAGTTGATTCCGACTGTTGTCGGGTCGTCTTCTGGTAGTGTTCCGTTGGTGTGTAGATTGTTCCCTCTCCATCCTGGGTATGTGATGACCGTATGCGCTCTTACTAGCTGTACCGCTGCTATGATGACCAGAAGGAGAGCTGACATGGCGGCCATTACGGCGCTCGCTTCTCAAGACGAGTCTAGCAATGGGGCGCTTGGTGCGGGAAGTGAGAGGTCTCGTGGTCGCTATCGCGGCGCTTCGAAAGAGTCGAGGAAAGAATCGAGTAGGTGAATCGCTATGCGGTGGGTATCGTCCAGCTGTTTCAGGACGCACAAGAAGAGAGTAGGGAAGAGCGCATGACAGGAGGAGTACAACAGATGAACAAGGCTTACCGAGCGCATCTGCTTGTCCTCTCAGCAGAGCGTGGGAGGTGACTTTGTAGGGAGCTTAGCGCCGCGAGTCGTCGCGGTGGAGGAGTGGCTGCGGTTCCTCATGCTTGGCGCCGATATGCACGGCGAGTGGATTGAGCGGCACTGCGACAGAGCGGCGGCGATGAAAGCTTCTGCAGTGTGTGATGTGTACCACGTCGGCAGCAACCACCAAGGCGAGGAAAGGATTAAGCGCCCGCTCGAAGCCCTGTGCACTGTGACCCTGTTGTGCTGTGCCCGGGGCGTGTGGAGGCAGCCAATCATCTCGCCTTTCACAGCTGCTCATGTGACCGCACGTGAAATCGCTTGGCATCCCATCTGGCATTGCAAATCCAGTGTATAACATATCAGCTTCACGACAGGCGTGTGTGTCTGAAGTGTTGCAAGCGAGAAGATGATGAAAATGATAACTTCTGTGGACGCGCCGACGACGACGACGACGACGACGACAACAACTTTAATGTTCATATCACGCCAATGCCTCGCTAAGTAAAGTACCCAGAAGAACCACCTTCCCATAAGATGCACATGTACACCGACCCAATCTTCTCTATACCCATCTATACCTTCTGTTCCACCTTCTCAGGAGGAGGACCCGCCGCACCCTTCCCAGGAGGAGGCGGTCCTCCAGGTCCCCCCTTCTTCACAGTCTTGAACTGCAGAGTGAAGGAGCCCAGCGCCGTGAAGCAAGCCAAGATACAAGCCATAATGAAAACCCTCCTCAAAGCCCCATTATACACCTCCAACACCGTGTCCAACTCCTGTGCAGGAACCAATTTCCTCAACTCCGTCGCTCCCGTATTGACAATCTGGCTGGAATCGATGATCCCAGCTAGCCCCGAAACCAACCGCGTAGACAGGAGATTCTGACCGACGGAAACGAATATTGCACCCCCGAATTGCTGGCAGAAGAACATGAGCGCGACGCCCGTGGGGATATCTTTTCCGTTCAGAACGGTCTGCGCGGCGATGGAACCTTGTTGCATCCCTACTCCGATGCCGAAACCGAAGAGGATTTGATAGCCGATCCACATTCCGCTTCCCGTGGAGACCTGCCATGTCGTGATGAGACCGGTTCCGATGGGCATGAAGATCGAACTGAGCATGGCGAAAGGGGTATAGTATCCGATCCTGCTAACGAGCTGACCAGCGGAAATGCTTCCCAGTACGAGGGAGAGGACGAGCGGGATGGTGTCGATTCCAGACTTCACGGCCGAGGTGCCCTTGACGGCTTGGAACCAGATGGGGATGAAATAGACCATGGTAGTCATGGAAGAGGCAAGGAAGAGCGTGAACCACATGCCAGAGACAATGTTGCGGTTCTTGATGATGGAAGCCGGGATCGTGGCGGTCTTTTGCATGAAGACTTGAACTAGGATGAAGGCGATGAAGCTTGCGCCGAAGACGATGAAGAGGGCGATGATGCGGCCGTCGGACCAGGCGTAGGTGCTTCCGCCCCATTGGAGAGCAAGGAGCAGGCAGACGATAGAGGGCATGAAGAAGAATTCGCCGAGCAAGTCGAGGTTCAGGAGCATTTGGCCGAGCGTCAAGCCTTTGCGTACCGGAGGCATGGGCTTGAGGATGAAAGCGATGATGGCCATGGCAACGCCGCCAATGGGAAGGTTGATGTAGAAGCACCTTCAAAGAGAGGTTAGCAAACATATCACGACCACTGGGATTGAGTACTCACCATCTCCAGGTAACATTGGTAGTAAAAGCACCACCCATCAAAGGCCCAATGACGCTCGAAATGCCAAAGCAAGCACCAAAGAAGCCCTGATACATGGGTCTCTTCTGCAGCGGAACGGTATTGAGCATGAGAACAATAGCGCCAGACATGATACCGGCGCTTCCAGCTCCCGCAATGGCTCTTCCAATGATGAAGGCAATCGAATTGGGCGCAGCACCACAGATCGCAGACCCAATCTCGAAGATGAAGATGATGGTCAAGAAGACGTATTTGGGCGAGAAGAAGGTGTAGATTCTTCCGAGGAGAAGTTGGAAGGCGCAGGCTGTGAGCATGAAGGCGCTTCCATACCTAAGGAAGAAGGTGTATCAGCTTAGCTTGCGGTTGGGTTCCGAGTTGTGGACTTCCTTACCAGCCAATGTCATCCAGACTGTTGAACTCGTTCGTAATCTGTGGTACTGCAGTTGCAATGATTGTTCGATCCAGCGCCATGAGGAAGATTGCCAGTAGCAGAGCGCTCATGACCATGACTGTTTCTTTCATGCCTGGATAGCCTCCGGGCGGAGGGGGAGGCCCTCCAGGACCGCCTCGAGGAGGTGCACCAGCAGGCGGACCATCCTTCTTGGCCTCTTGCGCATCCTCGTTGTTGGCCTTGGGCGTTGCGGTGTGCTTGTCGATACTGTTGTCGCTATCAGAAGCCACGCTTTCCGCCTTCTCACGCACAGGCACAGCATCAGGCTTCATATTGTCCGTCTCCCTGGTCGATGCCATTGCGATTGATTGAAGAAGTCCTTGTCGTGAGAGTGGTGGTCGGAGCCCATGGTGAGAAGGCGAGGACGAGGCATTATGTATTCGACCTGCTTCATCTGCTTCGAGATCCTTCCCGTCACACAACGGTATTGACGATAGCGAGAGCTCGGTCGGCAAGGGCGAACACGGCCGAGGAGTCGCCGGCGCTGATTGGTCGGTCGCACTCTCTGTACCGAATCGGCAACACTCAGCCGTCCCCCGACTCCCTTCAGCAACAACAACAACTCGGCCGCTCGCTCTTTGTCCAGCTTTGTCTCAGCGTCACCGGTTTGGGTGTTTCCACTTCAGCTCTCAATTGCCCTCGATTGTCCAACCAACGCCAGCTTTTGCTAAGCCATGTGGGTCCCTACCGACGGCTTGATCCCACGACCGAGCGTGTTGTCGAAAGGAACACCGACGACGCTATACCATTTCCCGAAACTTGAACTTTCGGGCTCTCAGCTGCATTGCAAGCCAATCTAAAGTTGGAGCTGCTGAGCGTTGAATGGCGTATATCATTCCACCTTCCCACCCCTCGCGTCCCCTCGAGTTCCCATCATCCAATCCACGATCCCAATCGTTCCAAAATTCACCACAAACCTCTCATGATGCAGATCATGCATCCTCGCATTCCAGAACCATTCATATCCAGAATGCGAAGTAGTGGTCTGCAATAATTCATACACCAGGAAAGCTGCAAACGTCAAGATATGACATTGCTGTCCCAGACGTGGCAGAATATGGGCCATGGGTGCGAAGATGGGCATCGCGTTGGCGAGGATGTGTTCGACCGGATGGGCGTACTGCGCGGCGAAGCTCATGGGTGCGGCAAAGAGGTGGTGTTTCTTGTGGATGTGAGGGTAGAGTCTTGGATGGTGGAGTAGTCGATGAGCGGTGTAGAAGAGAAGCTCGCGGGCGACGATGGCGAAGAGGAAATGCGCAGTGAATTCGTGAAGCGTAGGCCCCTGAACGGCGTAGGGTTGGCCTTCTTCCTCACGACCAACTTGCCACCGGCCCAAGAGAAGTCCATCTGCATCAAGAGCTGAATGCTGGTCTGAACCGCGAAGCTGATGCTCACATATCGCAAGCAATGTAGAATGCTCTTGAGTGATGGCTGGCGTTTCTCCGACCGTAGTTTATGTTCCGAACTCCATCTGGGAAAGCCCAGGTCCACTGCCAGGAAGATTGCTGAGGGAAGCCAGTAGCCGAGGACTTGTGCTCCTAGTACAATCCCCAATTCGATCCAATTTGGGGGATACGTCTGGACGACGTGTGTCCAATACTCCTGCAAGACCGGCATTATTGCAGTGATTGTAGTCCGAGACAGATGCAAAGGGTTTGGGGATGCATGTACCGACGAGGAAGGGTCCTTGATTGACGATCCACGTCCTCAGCGCTGGATTCACTGACCTCCGGCGACTGCTCTTGCAGCTCCAGCTTGTATACGGAGCCTGCTAGCGGGAGCTGCAATTTCATGTTAATAGCGAATTCAGCCAACTCCGCCGTCTATCTCCCCCCAGTCAGACCCAGCATGTCATCACTAAACCTAATCCGGAATGTCGCTAAGTATCGATTGAGATTCCGCTGAGATCGAATCGGAAGCGCCTGACTTGGGAGGTAGGCCTCCGCTGCAGATTAATGGATCGATCCCCCATCCCCATCAAAGTTTCATTGACTGTCTCAGACTCCGATGTTTCCCCAGTTTGCGCCGACCTCATGTCTCCTCCCACACATACCTTATCCTACGGCCCATAGCACTTCCACGTTGCTGGACTGGCCTCAATCTCAACGCTTCAATGCCTCGACGAAGATGGCCGTCTTCACTACCGATTCTCACTCATGTGCTTGCTACCTCACCACGTGCACAGCTCCGAAGTCGTGCACTCGGAAGTCATGCACCCAGTCATGCACTCGGGAGCAAACCTCAACATGGAAGCACATGTCTCCCCAAACAATGACTACTGCCGTGGGGCTCGGCTTGGAGGCATGATCGTATGCTACTACTATCCACATGATCAGCCCAGTCAATGCTTCATAAACACTTGATGAACTCCGCTCTTCGACTGCCGTGGAGCAGAATACTCTCTCCGAAGCCGTTGCCAACCCGACAAAGCCTTCGAGTCAACCCATCAAAGCTCCGACCCTCCTTACCACAATCCACCAAGTCCACCATGCCTCCGCCCAGGAAGTGGTGGCAGACCGCTACAGTCTACGAGCTGTATCCATCTTCCTTCGCCGATTCAAATGGCGATGGCATCGGCGACATTCCAGGCATCATCTCTCGCATTCCGTATCTGGCATCTCTCGGCATCAATGCCATCTGGCTTGCCGCGTGCTACAAAAGCTCCGGCGTCGACATGGGCTATGATGTCGTGGATTACAGAGACATTGACCCCCACTACGGCACGGTTGAGGACGTGGAGAAGCTCATCTCGGAACTTCAGAAGCACGGCATCTCTCTCATCATGGACATGGTCGTCAACCACACCAGCTTTGAACATGCATGGTTCAAAGAAAGCAGGTCCAATACCACGAATCCCAAGCGCGACTGGTACATATGGCGGAAAGGGTGCCATCTACGCATGACTGATGGTTACCCGAAGCGCTTTCCGCCCAACAACTGGGAGAGCGTATTCAAAGGCACAGCGTGGGAATATGACGAAGCGACGGATGAGTATTATCTCCGCATGTTTGCCAGAGAGCAGCCCGATCTGAATTGGGACTGCAAGGAGATGCGCGAAGCAGTCTACGATGACATGCGCTTCTGGCTTGACAAAGGTGTCGCGGGATTCCGAATCGACGTGATCAACATGATCTCCAAGCCTCCAGGTCTCCCGGACGCTCCAGTTACGAATCCCAAATCCGACGTCCAAAAGGCAGAGGACCTCGTCACCAACGGGCCCAGAGTACATGAGTACATCCAAGAGATGCGTCGCGAAGTCTTCGACAGATACCCGGATTCTGTGACTATTGGCGAGATCATCTGCACCGGCAACACAGACGCCATGCGGAAATATGTCGAGACGGACAGGCGCGAACTCAACATGGCATATACCTTCGACCTCTTCGGCCTCGACTGCGGCCCTCTCGGGAAGTACGTACCTCGCCACTGGCCACTCTCGGAGTTCAAGCACAACATTCAGAAATGGCAGAACGCACTCTTCGAGGGGGCTTGGCAGACGTTCTGGCTCGAATCCCACGATTCCGGGCGCTCCGTTTCGCGCTTCGGCGATGGAATGCCCGAAAACAGAGAAAAGATCGCCAAGATGCTCGCGTTGCTCTCCTCGACCATGCAAGGCACACTCTTCATCTACCAGGGCCAGGAACTCGGCCTGGTCAACCTCTCCCACGAGATCCCGATCTGCGAATACCGGGACGTCGAAACGCAGAGCACCTGGCAGGCCACGCTGCAGTACCGCTCCGAGAGCCAAGGTCTTCCCGCAGAAGAAATCGACATGTCCGACGTCCTGCACGAAGTCCATCTCAAAGCTCGCGATCACGCCCGTGCGCCCCTCCCCTGGACCCCGGACCCTCCCCCATCCGGCTTCTCCTCCTCCACGAGGGGCAAGACCTGGACCCCCATGAACACGGACAGCCCCCGCTGTAACATCACCACCCAGAGCCGCGAAGCAGATTCCGTTCTGAACTACTGGCGCAAACGCCTTGCGATCCGAAGGCAATACCCCGAAGCTCTCGTCTATGGCTCTTTCGAGGCCGTCGCGTCGACCCTGAACGACGAGCCCGTCTTTGCGTACTGGCGCAAGCCTTTGGCACACGTGGCACAGGCGCGGGGCTTGGGCAAGGATGGGGAGAGGGATGTTTTGGTCGTTTTGAATCTGACTGCCAAAGATGGGGTGGGGTTTGAGATGCCTCTGTCTTCTCTTTCTTCTTCTTCTTCTTCTTCTTCTCCTTCTCCTTCTTCTTCTCCTTCTTCTGGGAACGACAAGGGGCAGGGGGAGAAGCAGATGTTCTTCGTGCTGGATAGTACGGCGGGCATGACGGCCGGGTTGCAAGTTCGGAGTAACGGTTTGGTGGAGAGTGGGGAGACGATCGTCCTGGAGGGGTATCAGGGTGCGGTTTTTGGGTTTTAGAGGGAATTGATTGGATGGATGGATGTTGGGAGATCATGAATGCGGTTTGTAGATGGTTTTTTGGGGGGGGGGTTCTGACTTTTTGGAGATATGATCACCCCTAGATATCTAGATAAATAGAATGCGAGTTGAGAAAGGCACATGATGATGAGATTTGGAAATTGATAGAAAGAAAAAAAAAATTTAGCGGATTTGAGAATCGAGCTCTTGGAGCGTGCGTAAGTTTCTTCCTGCAACAATGACACCCGTCTCGGAGGGGGTTTTTTGTTGGATAATTCTTCTATTCCTTTCTTTGCCTCGCCGTTCATGGCATGTAGTACTACTCTGTCGATCGATAGACCCAACCCAACCCGTTCCCTACACACCACAACAATCAACCCTCCGTCATCATCATCATCATCCTCCTCTCTCTCTCTCTCTCTCTCTCTCTCTCTCTCTACCCCGCCGCCTCCTCCCTCTCCATCCACCACCCCACCCTCCCCTCGCGGAACTGCTCCCCCCAATCCCACAAAACCTGCACGAGTCAGAAGATCCGCTTCATGCCGCGCTCAATCACCTCCCCCCGGACCACTTGAATCACCTTCTCCTCGCCAACGTCATCGAAAGCGGTGGAGGATAGGATTTGCCACATTTGGGCGGTGTTCTGGGAGAAGTGGCAGTCGAGACGGGCGGCGAGGGCGCGGCGGAGGCAGGAGGTGAGGGTGCGGGGTTGGGGGGGATGGGCGTTTTGGCGGGTGAGCATGCAGGAGATTTCGGAGGTGAGGGAGCTGTGGAGGAGGAGGGGGGGAGGGAGGTTAGTCTTGGTTTGGATGGATAGGTGGATTGGGGGAAAGGGGGGAGTGGCGTACGAGATTGCCCATGGAGATTTGGGGTGGGAGGTGGGGTGGAGGAGGGCGAGGAAGAAGTCGGGGCCGTGTTGGAGGAGCATTTCCTCCAGGGCCAATTCGATGTCGCTTCTCTGCATGATGTCGCCTGCTGCGTGGTGGGCGTTGATGGGACAAGGGCCGTGGATTCGGAGGATCTTGATGCTGGAGATGAGCTTGAAGAGGAGACATACGAGGCTCGTGGCTGGCAGGGCGTTGATGAGGGCGACTTTGTCGGGGTAGCTTGCTGTGTCTTGCAGGCGGTAGAGGAGGAGCAGACCGATCTTGTGCACCGTCTCCCAGCGGCCCTTGAGCCAGTCCAGCTCGGGTGAGTGGGAGCAGATCCGGAGCCATTGTGAGTGGAGGTCGTCGAGGGTGGACAGGCGGTCGTGGAGGGTCGAGAGGCCGGAGAAGGTATTGGTGTGTAACGAGGGAAAGAGGCGGAGGGAGGTGGGGGAGAATTGGATTCGTTTGATATCCTTGACCAGTGCATGCTCGTGGCCGGTGATGAGCTTGTTCAGTCGTGAGTTGGTGCGGCGGATACCGGACAGGGCTTGTGGAGTGAAGGGGATGTGTGGAAGGATGTCAAGCAGGAGCTCGGCAGGAAGGGTGTGGAAGGAGGGATTGCTGTGGTTGCCGTTGCTGTCGCCGTTGCTGTCGCTGTTGCTGTCGCTGTTGCTGGGGGAGGCGGGGAGAGATTGCAGGGCAAGCATTTTGGGCCTGTCCGTGAGAATGGTAATGGTATCTGATGATGATGATGATGATGATGATGATGATGGTATATCAAAGGATTGCCATCAAGGTATACAGTATGGAGAGCAGCACCTTGATGGCATGACCTCGAGGGTCGCCGTCGCCTTGTCCCGCTCATGGCATGGCATGGCACCTTTGTGGTCTCATCTACCTGTGTGCTCTCGCTCACCTTGCTGGCAGAGGGTAATGCGTGTCTATCTCCCGTCCCGGACAGACGATGCAATGCAATGCCAAGAGCTGTCCCAACAGGTGAGATGAAAGAGGATTCTGATTCGCTGCACGACACGGCGATACGGGTGCCGTGGCATACTATGTCTCGGGGTATGGTATGTATCGGGACGTCTTGACACGTCTTGACACGTGTGATCTGATCCGGGTTCATGGAAGATGCGCAGGAGCTGTCACTGCCGGCACAGCACAGGGCAGCCCAGTACAGCAGATCCATCATACCCTCACGTGACACTCTCTACTATTACTATACCTTGTTCTGCTCGTCTCGTCCCGTCCGCGCTTGGACTCGGATGATGATATATGATGATATGATATGATCTGATGGCCTGGATGATTTGATTTCTTGCATTGCATTGCATTGCATCCGGAGAGGTCTGGCGGCGACGCTGGACGGTGTGCTCGGGCGCGTCTCGTCTCATCTCATTGGCTTGAACCCTCTGCCAAAATATTAAACATCCGCGGCGCCACTCTCCCTCCCTCTGTCCTCCTCGTCACCGCTCCGCTCCGCTCCGCTCACTTATTAGACTGCCGTACAACAACAACTACAAAGACTCTCGCGCGCACAGCGTCGCATTCCCTGTCCCTCATCTTCTTCTCTCCCTCCCTTCCTTCCCGTCGCCTTCCTTTGCCGGAACACCCTCCATCCGTCTTTGCCGAGCCGTGCTCAGACTTTCCACTGGCCCAGGCCCATGATGTATTCCAGTCGTCGGTAGACAGCCGTCACTGCGCATCGCATCCACTGCACCACCCGTCCCATCCCGGGCGCGTCGCCGCCTTGAACGCCGCTTCTGAATCATTGCACCACGACCTGTACACGGCGCGCAGCTGTACGAAAGAGGAGGACGCGTCGGTCGGAAACAGCCGCCATGTCCAAGCTGTTCTCGCGCAGGCGAGGCAGCTCCGCCTCCCGTCACGCTCACCATCTTCCCCTCGACCCGACCACCAGCTCAAATGCTGCTGCCGCCGCCACTCAGGCCTTCTTGCGCAGGCCACCCTCGAGTGGTTCGCTCTCCTCCGCTGCCGCCGCTGCCGCCCTGCGATCCCACACCACCTCGCCCGAGCCTGTAGGCAGCATCCAGACCAAGCGCATGGTCCGCAGGGGCTCGATATCCTCGGTTGGAAGCGGAAGCGTCGTGCGTGGAAGACCTGGCGTGCAGAGAAGAGGCAGCTCGAGTTCCATGACCGATCGCACCTTTCGATCGCCATCCCCAGCCAGTCAGCCTCACGCTGCCCGGCCTGTCCCTCAAGCTCGAGACGCACCCCCGGTGCCCGCGATACCGTCATCCCTCTCCACCGAGCAGAAGAGGTCGTCGAGTGTGCAGCCTCCTCCGAAGCGCGTCACTTCCCCTACACCACCAGGCCGTGGCACGCGCCGAGCGATGAGTATGGATAGGACCGGTGCGCCTCCGCCCGCCACGAGCCGGAAAGCGCTCCGATTATCCAACGTCAACGAAGAGACGGAGACTCCAGACAGCAATCGCAACGTCAACTTCTCGAGACCCAGGACCTCCCAGCCGAGTAGTCCTACGTCCCCTACCGCGTTTCCTACAACGGACAGGCAATACACTCATGGAACCGGCGCGTGGTTTTCGGAGCCGCCTACTGCCCCGAGTGGCAGACAACCGACGACATCCAGAGAGGCTGCTCTGCAGCAGAAGATAGCGAGAATACAGGCTGCCGCCGGACAACCTGTCAAGAAGTCTCACGAGGCCACCTCGGCGCAAGGAACTTACCTGGGCAAGGCCAACCAACAACCCCCAAGAGCCCCCTCCGCGGAGCCTGCGCCAACTTCATATGAAACTTCGGATTCCATCATGGTCTATGACCCTAATTCGCGAACATTCGTGGCGAAACCTCGAACGAAGCCGAAAGCTCCAGCACCCGTGCCTCCTCTTCTACCTCAGTCAAAGCCTCTTGCGCCGGGAACGTATGACCCAAGTACAAGGACCATCGTCCCTGCCCCCGCGCCAGCTCCGGGCCAACGACCAGCAGTGCCAACGCTCGAGACTGACCCGGTACCGCCCCCTCGAAACCCTGCTCGTTTGTCGCCCGTCGATACCCCTTCCGCGACATTTCTCAAAAAGCAACCTTCAGTCGTGCGCGAGGAGCCTGAACTGGAAAGCAGTGGCCCAGTTCCAAGCTCGGTGAGAAATGTGACGACAACAACTGCACCTGCAAAGTCGTATGTGACACCGGCTGTGTCCAAGCAAAGATCTTCCAGCCTCGATATCCCTCGTGGTGCCCTCGAGCGAGCCTATCGTGGTCGCGGCGGTTCCACTTCGCCCAGTCCTGCGCGCTCGGCACATTTCTCACATTCTCCCGTGATACAGGCCACCAGACACGATCCGCCGCCTCGCGACATTTCCCCTGCCAAGTCTGCCTTGAAGCATTCACCGGCATCCTCGATTCGCACCCACTCGCCACTCGCCCACTTCAGCGGGCCTCGCTCGCCCATCACCGAGACGTCAGACACCGCATCTCAGGCTTCCGAGGATGTCTTTACCGGGAGGAAGAAAAAGTCGGTGCGCGTCAGCTTCGACGAGCAGCCTCATGAGATTGAAGTCGCTGCTGCCCCTCCACCCAAGACACTTGCACGCGAACGCTCCCCTACTCTTGACGACCGGGGCGACGAAGACATGATGGGACCCAGACCGGTACTTCCAAGCTTTGGGAGCATTCGCAAGCAGCGAGTTGCGCCTGATGTAGCAGAAAAGGTCACGGAGATGGCTCCGGAGAGGCATGATGCCAGTAATGACCACGCCATTGGAGGCATTCTGCGGGAAGCCACGGAGGCCAAGTCCTCGGGCGAACCAGTACCTCCAGAGGTGACGAGCAAGGAGACTGCAGGCTATGTCAGCGATGAGAGCGACGACCTCGGGGCGCCAGCTGCGGTCAGCACTCCCGCACAGCCCGCGGCTGTCTCTTCTACCGAGTCTAGCCCTGAGGAGACGAAGACAAAGGATTTCGCGCAGGTCCCGCAAGGTCGCCAGAACGAAGACGGCGATGTCCCCGCTATCAACCTGCTCCCACCCACGCCCGCTGCAGAAGATGAACCCCGTACGCTTGCGCCCGGGCAGTCTCATAAGCAACGAGATTCTGCGGACATCGAAATGCCTGGTTCATGGGACAAGAAAGGCGCAAATCAAGCAGAGGTTACATCGGCTGGAGCCGCTACGGCCTCAGCTCTCGCTGTGGACGCTACTCATCAAGCTCCGGCCGTTCCGCAAGATCCTGTCATTTCTCAAAGTCCAGAGCATTCGCCGACATTGGCGGCGATCGATGAGGACACAGACATGGATGAGTTCAGCGACGCAGCAGAAGACCTGTCGGAACTGGACAATGGTGGTTTTGCTTCTCTCGATGCCATTGCCGTGAGTCCGGTCATCCATTCTACTGCTACGGACCAGTCTACCGTGGGTACTGCGTCTCCTCCAGAGAGCCCATCTGCGAAGCAGACTTCCAAGAAGGCGAATGGTCAGGCGGATGGTCAGGCAAAGGGTCACGCCAGTACGGGATCGAGTGACTGGAGCGAGGCAACAGCATATTGGTCAAAGCTCAGCAAGCAGCAACGAGAGCAGATTGAGCGGGAGCATTTCTCTTCTGATGACGAAGCAAGACCCTCGCCGGCTGTCAAGAAGACGAAGAAGAAGACGGCTCCGAAACAAACCGAGACTTCGGCACCTGCTGCTGCCGTTGCTACACCTGCCGCTGCTAGACCCGCTGCTGCGAAACCTGCCGCGCCAGCTATGAAGAAGAGCATGCGTGCCCAGCCCGAACCCACCCCTGCGGAGAGTGAGGTGCACATGCGGCGTTCGATGCGAAATGGAGGGACCGGTGGTGGCATGGCTGCCACTCTTCGCAGTGGCCCGCCAGCATCGAAACAGCAGCCAGCAACAGCAACCCAAGGACCCATGCAGAATAGGAGCATGCGGCCAGCTTCGACAGGCTTGCCATCATCCGCTGCCAGTGCCGCGACGCATGCGAGACAGAGTAGCGACACTGCACGTTCAGAGAGCTCCGCATATTCCAAGATTCAGCCAAAGCCAAGGCCGCAGCCCAAGATGCAGGCAGCGCCAGTCGTGACTGCCAAAGTGCAAAAGGAACTCGCAAACGATTCTGACTCGGAGAGCAGTTTCAAGAAGAAGCGGCGCACGCCTAAAGTGGACTCGTCGGGCAGATACACCATGTCACGGAGCATGCGAGGCGGGCCTGTGGGCAGCGAAGCCTCTGCTCGGCAACGGCGGCAAGTGTCCCCAACACCATCTCGCCAGAGAGGGGCAGATTCTTTCAGCATCAGGTCTCTGTCGCCGTCTGGCTCCCTGTTTGGCAGAAAGAAGCGTGTGGACGATGTTCGACAGTCGATTCGTGGGAGCTCTGTGGATGCTGGGCCTCGAACAACCATGCGGAATCGACCTTCGTCGTCCAAAACTTCTGCCAGACCTGTCAGCTCGCGACAAACGTCGAAGTTCAAATCACGATTCAACGACTCTGATGACGAAGGTGAAGATGATGCACCAAGACGTGGCGCGTTTAGGAGCAGATTTGCGGACTCGGACGATGAAGATGACGATGTTTTTATCCCGGCCGATCTCACACCTGTGAGGGGTATTCCACGCCGACAAGGCCAGAATGACGGGGACTCGACCGATCTAGAAGATGAAGACGATGCAGAAGACGTCCGCAAGTCGACTCGCATGCGCAATACGCCTCTGGTCCCGGATCCCGCGGACATTGACAAGGCCATGGAAGCTGCCCGGAAGAAGCTTGGCATGACCAACGGACCACCTCCGCCTGCTCCGAACAACACCCAAGGATCGTCGCTGCAGCAAGGTAGCTTGAGAGATTCTCAACTGGAGCCTAAATCGAGGCCGGAAGACGTTGTTGACTTTGCAGGGAAGAGGAGACGCGGCTTCATGGGTGGTATTCTGCGTCGCAACCGCAATAGCACTGCATCTGTTGCTACAATCAGCTCAACGAGTATCCAGCAGCGGCAGTCCACAGAGGTACCACAGATGCCAGCCGTTGCTACAACATCATTCGCAGCCGCCACTGCGTCGCCATCTTCCCCGTCAGCTGCTCGTCCACCGAGCCTGACAAGTCCCAGCGCGGGCAAGCTGATCCGTCGCAGCTCGGCACAGCAGGCCCCCAGGATGCGTCGTGGCGACTCCACCTACTCCAACGCCACGGCACCTCCCGATGTACGTGACGTGGAGGCCAGGTACTCGGACTGGCCTCTCCCGGCCGTCCCTTCGATCCCGGACAAGTACAAGGATCGACCCAACACCTCCGATGGCGCAAGTACGCAGCGGAGACACAGCGCAGACAAAGTGCGGTTCCAGGATGTAAATGGAGAGAAGGATGCCATGGGAGGCAAGAACAACGTGTATAGCCAGCGCACGGGCAAGAAGAAGAGATTTGGAAGATTGAGGAGGGCCTTTGGGCTCGATGATTGATTGAGGGTAGACATGAAGAGGATACAGTTGATTCAACAGAGATTTTTTTGGGTAATGTGTAATGGTATTCTTAGACTGGAGGAAAGCAGGGAGATTCAGCAGAAAGTGGACATGCTTTGAAGAGGAGGATGAGGATGGATGGTGGGTTCGAGTGCAAATACCCGGTCCTGCGCGGCCATGCTTTTCTTTTCGTTTCAGTAGAAAATATTGTGAAGATAATTCGTTCTCATCACTCCCCGACTAACTACTCTCCATATCACATGTGATCGATTGTTCGCTGTCTCCTGCAAATGCCGGGATGCTTCTGCTCGTGCAAGGAAGGCATCTTACGCTAGCGCGGGACATTCCTCCGCGAGTGAATGGACCCCGCTTGTGCCGCTGATGAGCTCACGCGTCGCTCCCGCCCAGCAACGTGGACTTCTCGGTCAACAGACAATTCGACACCCAACTCACTCAACAAGAGGAACAATCATCATGGCAGACGAGGATCTAGCCACGAGAGCGCCGGAGAGCGATGCGCAGGAAGACGGCAAGACTGAGGCAGACTCGAAGCCAGACCAAGGCGCGGCGAGCATGGGAGTAAGCCAGCCTCCTCACCCTCCGGCGAGTGAATGCATTCCGCTGATCTGTACGATTGCTGTAGGGGCATTGCACCACCGATCGACCCACACGTACGCCGCCTTCGTTCGAGACAGACAAGAAAGAGCAAGAAGGGCTGATTGATTGATTGATTGCTGCAGCGGCTGACGAACAATCCACCGGTGTATGGCTATCTCATTACACGGAATGACAGCCAACTGGGACTAAGTGGATATGTCTAGGAACTCGCAAGACTGAACGATGTTGAGGTCTACATCGCCAAACCGGCGGACTACCCTCATGCTGGATCTAAACTCCTGCTCCTCCTGACTGGAGGTACGGGTATACACAGTACGAACAACCAGCTTCAGGCAGACAGGTTCGCTGCGGAAGGGTTTCTTGTTGTCATGCCGGACCAGTAAGTGCATGGGAGCTCTCAATCACAACACGAAGCACGAATCGGTAACGATCGGAATAGATTCGGAGGCGACCCAGTGACGAGCATCATCCAAACGCCTACCACGCCCGCAGAACCAAACCCGACTCTGATCGAACAGGTCAAACTTGGCATTGCCTCAGTCGCCAAGTCCTTCTCCATCGACATGTGGCTCGCACGACATACGCCTGAAAAAGTCCTTCCGATCGTGCAGAGAGTCATCGATGCTATCAGGGAAGAATTCGCCGATGCCGTGGCCCACGGTGATGGGATTTATGCGGTTGGGTACTGCTTTGGCGCCAAGTACGTCCTGTTACTGGGCTCTGAGCTGCATGCGGATGTCGCTGCGGGCCAACGCTCCGCTGAGACGGAAGCCGAGGAGGGAATGGTGAAGAAACGCCCATTCATCAAAGCCGGAGCCATTGCCCACGGCACGCAGATCACGGCATCTGATCTCGAAAACTGCAAAGTGCCACTGAGTATCGCGGCGGTCGAGGACGACAGCCTCTTCCCCGACAAGATCCGTGAGACGGGCATCCGGAAGCTCAAGGAGAAGGGCATCGAACACGACCATCAGGTATATTCCGGCGTTCCGCACGGTTTCGCGGTTCTGGGCGAGTATCAAGAATCGCATATCATGGAGAAGCAGAGGGAGGCTTTTCGGCAGATGCTGAGCTTCTTACAGCAGCATTGATTTTGCCATGCCCTGTGCGATGATGTTTCCTACGGCGTTTGGGGGGTCAATGAGATGAGATGAGATACCACCTTTATTGACGTTTGCTGCTGCCCCTTTTCACTCGCGTTGTATTTCCTTCTCTGCGAGAGAGAGAGAGCTTGTCAGGAAAGATGGCATCACTAGACTGACGACGGAGATCCTCATCTCATCTCATGGAACGAACGATTGTCCACGCCGCACAGCACATGTCCGGTCCGGTCTCCCCATCTAGAGCTCTCCCTACATCTGCCCACAGCCATCCCATCCATCCCATCCCATCCTCTCTTTTAAGCGGTACGACCACGACCAGGAAGAGCTCGTCACAAAAAATTTCAAGCGTAGGGTAGGTAGCATCGATCGGACCACGTATTGTATCGTATCGTTTTCAACACGGGCTTTTCAGTCAGACAGCACCTGCCTGCATCAGCGGGATCAGCGGGCGGGCGGGCGGGCGGGCCCACGGGCGGATAAAGTAAAGTATTTATTCATTCATTCATCCTCCCTGGTGTGATGGGTGTATCATGAATGAATTTTTGGAGAAGGAAAGTAGATTTGTGTTCTATTACTGCCGGTCGGCCGGCTAGTGAGGATAGGAGTCATGGGGCTCAGCATAGTTCAGTGGAGATGATGTGATCTGGGACGCATGCTGAAGTTGTGAGGGGGTTTGGCATGTGAGAAGCAAGTCTGTGCGTTTTTGCTGGGTCTGTGCGCACTTGATCCTTTTCCTTGAAGGGCTTGGAAATCTATCAACAAAAATTTTTTTTTTTTGCTTTTTCAATTGAGGAGGGATTTCTACTCACTCTCTTATCTACCTCTGGTGAGATCTTGTGCGACGAACCGTGTCACACCTCGGTCAACCCCGTCTGAAGATTCTATCTTATCTGAAACTCTCACACAAGACAAAACCTCAAATTTTTGTCATGAGCGCGAGCTCGATATTCACATGCAAAAACCGGCCGGCAATGTGGTCCGTGAAGCTCGCGACGCGCAAAGCAATTGTCGCGCAAGGCAAGACAACACATCTCTCTGTCTCTCTCTCTCTCTCTGCCTCTCTCTTTCGCCACTTCGAGCAAACATTTCCTCAAAAACCATAGCAAGCCGACCCCGAACACACACACACACACACACACACACACACACACACACACACACCACCCCCAACACCCCCCCCACCCCCCCCCCCCCCCCCCCCCCCAAATGGACCAAGAAACCAACTCCTACGTCACAAACGTCTTCGGCTACTATTCCATCCCCTGCAACGACTTCCGCACACACCTCTTCCACGCCCTCCAAATCTTCAACACCCACGGCATCCCCACGTGCATCTTCAAGCACGCCGAACCGGCCTCCCTCTCCCCCGTCTACGACTCCCGCACCCGCTGCGCCGCCATCCTCGACGGCAACCACCACAACAAACACCTCTGTCAGGCCTTTGACCGCTTCTGCTACCACGTCGAAGACCCCGGGTTGGAGGCGGCCGATTGGCAGTTGCGGCAGGAATTGGTGCGGTTTGCGCGGCTGTTGCTGTGCGAGGCGCATCGGCAGGAGATGACGACGCCGGTGCTGCTGGGGGATCTGGCGGAGAAGGTGACGGTTTGTCGGAAGAGGTTTATTCTCAGGGAGCGGGGGGGCGGTGGGTATGCTTCCCTCTCGGGGAGGAAGGAGGGCAGGGGAGGAGATCATCATCACCATCATCATCATCATCAGAGGCAGAAATCGAGGTTCTCGAGTCTCTTCATGACTCCGAGGAAGTCGGGCGAGCAGCAGGAGTTCGAGCAGCACGGAGACCGGAGCGCTTCGCCATCGTCGGGAGAGGAAGGATCCTCGAATGTGAGAAGGTCCGTCTCGGAGAAGCAGACGATTCGGCCAATGTCTTCATCTCCGGACATGCAGGGCTTGCAGAGCCCGAGGCATGCTTCTATAGATCTGACGTTCAGAGACTCGCGGTCCAAGGAGAGACACTCGGTAGGAAGGGCGTCGGCGCTCATGACCAAGTTGAGTCCTGCACAGAAGTCAAGATGGGAAGTCGATTGAGGAGAGGACAGAACGCAACGAGCAAGGTTGTGTTGGAGAGATCAGAATGATTATACACGCCGCTGCGACGAGGTATCCTGCCGAACACGACGCCAGATTAGCTAAAAAGAATCGTAACAAACGGCAGAATTTCGTATGCGTCACAATGGCACACCGCCAACCTATCCCGTGACTTGCTTTCCGAGCTCCTTAGCCTTTTCAGCAGCATTCTGCTGTACTTTCTCGAACTCCTCCGGCCATCGCTTGGTGAGCTTCAGAAGAACGTAATACATCTGGATCGTCCCGCCGTAGACACTCTCCTTCGCCATCATCGTAAGACCATGCTGTAAGAAGCCTTTGACAACTTCTCCTTCCAATCCAGAATAAAGACCCGCGAGACCTTCGTTCCGGTAAATACGACGCAGTGAATGGAGAAGCGCGGCCTGGCCCTCCATTAGCTTCACAAGCTGGCGTAAAGTCTGTCGAGCGCGTTCGCGCGTTGGCGCAGAGCCGACTTCAATCTTGTGGTAAGATGGATCGACACCATTGTCATCCTCCGAAGCACCCGGGGCTGCTTGTGCGCGGGCTTTGGCGAGCATTACCGGGTAGGTGATGGATGTGGCAATGACCTTGGACAGAGCTGCCACGAGGAATATCTGGTATGGACGTGGATTGTCTCTGTATTTCTTGGGAATCAGACTCCTCAGCGTATTGTCGACTGCAAAAGTCATTGCGGGATTGAGCGTAAGAATCAGCTGCGCACTGTAGCCGGCCCAGAACCCAGCGATGCCCTTCTCTGACCGAATCTGCAAGGCGATGTCCTTCACGCTCAACTTGTTGCTCTTGGTCGGGGTTGCGGAAGAACTTGGGTCCCGAGCTGCGAGCAGAGCTGCGGTCTGCTGCCTCGTCACGATGTTCTGGATTGGAGATGTGATGGCCTTTGCGAAAGCGCCTGCCGCAACACCCACGCTCAACTCCTTCAGCACGGGCAGCTGCTTTCCACCCTGTCTCTTCAACATCTGCTCCTTCATCATCGAATACGCCAAGAAGAATAGGAAGGAATCCACAATGTGCTTTACCACATCTGAACTCAATCCAGCGTAGAAGGCCTTCAGTCCTCCCTCGTTCTTGTAAATCTTTCTCGCCGCATCGATTGGATCCTTGTATTCTGCATCCGCGTCGCTCGCAGCCGAGTGCGCTTCTTTCTCCCCCTTCAAACCTTTCTGTACCTGCATTCGCGTGACGATAGTATCGATCGGATAGACCACCGCCGTGGCCAATGCGGACGCCAATCCACCCGCAATCGCATGTCCCAACGCCGGAAGGGTAGGTCCGCCATAGTCCCTCTTCGAAACGTTTCCCTCTTGGATCAGGTGATAGAGCGTGAAGGCGTCCTCGGGGGTAAACTCAGCATTCTGCAGTGGAGTGGAGATGGAGATGAGACGCACGAGTTGGCTGTTGTAGGCAAAGAAGCCTGCTGCCGGAGCGTCGTTGGGTGTCATCTCTCACCTACCTCGCAGTGCGTAGCGCGGAGGCGTACGGCAAGGCGAGAGAGGGTGGTAGGCAGGGCACGACAACGATTATATTTCTCCCTAGATGCCGCCTCCTCCTCCAAGGCGCAGTCAGAAGTCAGCTACACGGACTCTCCAATGCTCTGCTCCCGGAACCCCATGTCTCACTCATCTCGTCTCCATTTCCCCGTCGACGTGTGTGATTCGCCTCCTTTGCCAACCCTCGACCGGAGACAGAGACATACCTTTCCTCTTCGTTCCGGCACGCGTCGTGTTCATCCAACCAGTGTGGGCGCGACAAGGACTCAGCCTGCCGGTTGTGAGGGGCGCGGATACGTATTGGTGAGGAGAAAGAGAGCTGGATGCAAGGACATGGTATACAGAAGCAGTCGACATCTGGCTGGCCTAGGAGCTCTGGATACTTTATGTCTGAACTGATGAGCTCATCTCGACGGAGCTTCCCCAGACACATCCCTGCCGGCCCTCGGCATCGGCACCTCCCGCATTGTGGGGTTTTGTTGGGGTGGGTGAATGGTCTGCTGCACCCTCTTGGCCATGTCTCGGGCCCGCCGTAATAATAATTCGGACAAAAAGACCTGGTTTGGAGGTTGAGATACACGTGCTCTTCCAGCCAATTATATTAGCTGGGATGAATGAGGTCCGTAACATTATGACTCAGCGTTTTTGGGAAGGCACAACGCCCGTCTCCTTGCTCGGCCGTGGCCAGAGGGTATATGTTATAACCTTCGTTGGTGACAGAACTGAGGGATTGCAAGTGCCTTCATCTGAGGCTTGTCTGTCCTCTCTACCCAAGCGGCCGTGACCACTATGTACAATACGCTCAGAAACGCTCCACCCAAATCAAACGCAATGCGATGCGATGCGATTTAATGCGCTCCCGCATGGAAGACAGCATTGGTAGTGAGACACACCACCATGACAACAGCACCGTAGATAGCGATTGCGGCACTCAGCTTTCTCAATATGTCGCTCCGTGATCTTTGCCCAACCCGCGAGCCTCCCTCTTCTTGCGAGTCTGGAGAACCAGAGTACTCCTCGTCATCTTCATCCTTGAGAAGTCGTTGGTGATGCGGTGAATCCGGTGCGCTGATTTTGTAGTAGAACATGCCTGGCAGAATGAAAGAGATGGCCGTGCTTCCTGTAGCGCCAACATATGCTAGGACTTTATCCAGGCTGCTGACAGTCATGGCAACGATATAAGAGAGAATGATGATGAGTGTTGTCAAAACAGCAAATCGAAGTTCGCTCATGTCTTCCGGCTTCGGTCTGTTGACGGGCATTTTACCCGGTGCTAACAGCGAATTCCGGCTGGGAGAGCCGCGAGAGGATGCAGCCGGTGTGAGCTCGGTATTCCGGCGAGTCGCAGGTCTCCACTTCGTAACAGCGTCTAATGAGGCACGGCACGGATGCACCTGGAGTGGATAGCTGAACATAACAAGCACCACAATAGCCGCTCGCCCAATGGTGGATGCGATGCTAGGGGTGTATTGGGCGACGATGTTGCCGATGACGCTGTCTCCAAAGGAGAGGTAGCCAGTAATCGCAACGAGGATATAGATGCTGGCCGCAGTGCCGATGGATGCAGTCACAACGGCGGTAGTTCTGGCTGGACTTGCATCTTTGATCTCGTTGAGGATAGAGAACATCTGTGTTGGGGTCAGCCGTTGCCTCCATAAACTGACTGGCTCCCTAAACTTACGTTCTGATGGCAAGTGTAGGCAAAGACGATAACCGGAAAACTGGAGAGTACAGGTAGGGGCCCTGCCCATTTGCCCCATCTGACGGTGCCTCTGTCATCCAAAGTATCCCCGGATGCGAAGTGATAGACGACCAGTACGACCAGATATGCAATCGAGATGAGCGCGATAATGGAGGTGTACTTCAAGCTGTCCAGCCTGCGCAGAAAAGAGAGAGGTATCACAATCAACCTCGTCACAAGTCAGCAGGCATAACCAGTCACCGTGTGGTGCTGACGACTCACATGAACGCCGTGATCCAGAATTGCCTATCCACCAGGTACTGGGCGCTGCCACTATCAACGCTCGAGGAAAAGCCCCTCACGACTCCCGGCATGAGATCCCCGATGATAATGAGGTATGACACGCCGACTCCAAAGCATTTGATCGTGATCGCGGCATCGAATAAGACCGCCGCGTTTGGGTATGTAATCTGGCTCAATGCGAAAAAAGAAGACGCTCCACGGTCCAGATAGCGCGCGCATCTTGTCTGAAGGTATAGTCCGAATCCGCTCGTGAGGCCAGCCCATAGTATTACAATGACGCCCAACGTAATCCCCATATTAGACATGGCGTGCGGCATAGCCAGTACACCTGCACCAACGATCGTGTTCACCAGGTTGATGACCGAAGAAGCCCATGATGCGGAGCCTACCACGCCGTTCTGCTTGGTATGTCTTGTTCGCCGCTGGGAAGCCGTCGAGGCGGGTCGAGAGTCGCTACCGTGCTCGCTCGGGGTGGAATTGATTGCAGCATAGGAGGCCATGATGAGGGTACGTTGCGATAAGCTGGCGACAGGTTGCTTTTGCTCGTAGATTACAGAACCATCGGGAGGGATGAGGTCCTGGCACAGCTATAGCCGCGCTCTTCTGCTTGCCCGCGTCGTGTGCTGCCGTTCAGACCTGTTGGTGAAGATGCGACGGTAGGTGGGGGTGCGAGAATTGAATTCCAACGAAGAGTTTGGCGCAATCTTGAGGACATATGGTGATCACCCGCGCCTCCGCCGAGACTCGGATGCGCCTGCCGAAGACCCTTGTGCGGCCGTCGAAACCTTGCGATGTTGCGCTTCCCGGAACAACCCAAAGTCATTCACTCACATCACGCGACATGTGAGACTGCAACAAAGCACGCGATGGTTGTAACGAGCGATACGGCAGCTGACACGCTGGCCATGCTGGAAGAGCGCCTGGCGAGGATCGACTTCCTGGTCAGTGGCAGCGGCACAGAAGCCGCTCAATCGCCGGGTAACGCGAGCAAGCGTCTACGTGCCCTTGAACGCACTTTACAGACGCTGGCCGCCAAGTCTCGCCCGATAACAGACCTTTTGCAGTTACAGCGGCAATATCCTGAACTGTTCAGCCCGTCCTCTGCTCATCCAGCACCCAGTACTCTTCCGCCAGCAGCCCTGGCCCAGTTGGTCCTTGCACACGAACAGATGTACAAAAAGGCCGCGTCGCAGCTCTCGATCCTCAACGAGAACAAGGATGTACACGATCCGTCGCAATTGACGAAACTGATTGCCATGCGATCACGGACGGGAAAGCTAGAGGCGAAGCAGAAGGAGCAGGCAAAAGAATTCGCTGAGCTGAGGGCAAGAAGTGCGAAGATTGTAGAACAGTGGTACGAGAGCGGCGTGCTGGACATGGGAGAGAAGTGGGCAGACTGGGAAGAGAGGCTAAGAGATTGCGAGATATTGGTGAGGCGGAACGAAGCAGCCAAGAAACGCGAGGAAGGAATGCTATGAACGCCGTACGAATCAAAGCTGTGCACCCGGCACCCGACTCCTCCTTACTGGAAGGTCGCCGCGGTGCGAGCATATCTGATACGATTCGAAACCACTCCGATGCCTCTTTCGAACCATTAAACGGTGAGACGATGACTCTGAGCCTCAGCAACGCGCTGCTTCAAGCAACGAATTTCCAGAATGAGGTCCTTATTGTTTTGCTTGGACGCCTCCAACGCTACTTCTCGATCCTTGAGAGTGCGCTCGGTGGAGCGCAGCTTCTGCGTCAAGCTGTAAGCTTCACTCTGAGCCAGCTTCAACTCCTCGAGCTCCGCTTCTCTCTCCTCTTGCAAAGCCTCCACCTGGCGCTGTCGTGCGTCCAGCTGCTCGTCTGCGGCAACCAGCTCCGCTTCAGTTTGGCGTAGCCTTGCAATCTCAACGTGCGTGTGATCACGCTGAGCGATCGACAACTCCGACTCACGAAGCTGCCGTTGCGTCGTAAATAGCTCTTGCTCGAGGTCACCTATCCTGAGCTTCAGCTCTCGTTTCTTCTTTGCTCGGCATTTCAGGAGAGAACGGACTCGCCGGTCATGCTTCTTGTTGGAAATAGCATGCGTCTCCCTCAGAGCCTCAAGCTCATGATGCTTTGCAGCAAAAGCGTCGACGGCAACTCTCTTTTCCGTCATGAGTGCATTCTGCTCGTCTCTCATCCTGCTGCATTGCTGCTCACGGACAACGAGCTGCTCGACTGCCTTTTCAAGACTGCCTTGTGTGGTATCCAATTCCTGGCAGACTTGCTCGAGTCGTTGGGAGAGACACTCCAACTCAGTATCCTTCGCTAAGCATGCTTCCTGCAGCTCTCTTCGGTCTTGCTCGATGATCTGGGCTTGCTTCATCGGCCCTTTATGGTGTCGCTCCGGGGCTGAATGGCGAACGAACGGAGGTGGCGTGTCTTTGATCGCGTGGTGCGACTGCACACAACCCTGGGGGATCTTTTCTATCAACGCAGGATGTTCGAGTCGCGCTGCTGCCTTCGAGAGGCCAGCAGAGATAGACAGTTCGGGGAGAGTTTCTTGGGAGCTCGCACCACCAAATGTCGGAAAGCGCAACGAGTGGCGGCCAGTGGAAGCAATGCGCTCTTCTTCACTGTATGTGTCAGGCTGAATTCCAGAGAACCGGGCGAAAGAAACGGGTGGATATTGCGCTTGATGTGCTGTCGACGCATCCACCGAAGGGTTGAAGGCATGTGGTTGTGCTGAGTAGAGAAGCTCCTCAACATTGGCACTATCTGTGCCGTCATCTTCTTCAAAGGAAAAAGCACTGACCCTGGGCGCATGCTCCATGGAATGGCATTGCAACTGCCTCTCTCCGACAGCGCTTCCATGCTCCTTGCGTCTTAGGGACTTGCGGACCTTGGCGAGCAGGCGTGTCAGAGACATCATCAGTTTCGCGTAATATCACTTTTGAGGTGGTGTATGAATGGAAGAGAAGAGGCGGGAACGACTCTTTCCTACCGCCTTTATCGAAAAGCCCATCTCATCACTCTACCGAATGTGCAACATGCAGTCTGCGAGTCTTTGTCATCTAGTTCGACATGTTGACCCACGGCGCATGTATCAGATCGGCTGTAGGTCCACTATCCGAAAAGGCTTCGCACAGGATAGCAAACATGCGCCGGGCATGGGAGTGGAATAATGCATGTCTTTGCTCTGCGCTTCCAAGAAATATGAAACCGGGGCTCCAGTACTGTCAATGCACGTCTCTCTCTCATGGGGTTGAAAAGCATTGATCCACGGAACAGGGCCAGACAGTCAGAACACTTCATCACAAGCAGTCACGCTTCCGGTCTTCGACCTCACTTCCACCAGCTCTTGATCTCGTCTATCCATCTCCTGTTCCGCCTATCACTCACGTCCGCCCATTGCCGCTCCAAGTATTCAACTTGCCCTCTCCAGCCTTCCTCCTTCCATTTGCACAGCTTCTGATCCTTCTCGGATATTGGACCAAATTGTTCGATGCAGATTGTTGACCTTGATGTCGTAGCTTTCGTAGCTTTGCGATACGCTTGCAGGAGAGCGCATCTCTCATGCGATGACGGAAACCGCTGAGAGAGTTTTGAAAAGTCATGTTTGCACTGTGGATCTTCGAGTCTATCGAAGTGTGAGATTCTTTGCGGATTCTAGGAAGTACTTCTGCTGAAAGAGAATTTCGCCGGAAAAATATCTCGATCTCCTTCCAGGATCTACTGCGCCGCGGGAAGTCCAGTTCACGCGCGTCGGTCTCAGTTCTTGGCATAGCATGTGAAAGTCATCGAAAGAAAAACTCAAAACTCAGGGGAAACTCATCAAAAATGCAAAATTCAAAAAGATTCTAGAGTGCTCGTTTGTCTCCTCACATCCTGAAAACACCGAACTTCGTCTCTTCCTTCTCCACACTACCCGTCATCGCCACTTGCAGGCCCATGCCGAGCACACGTCTAGTATGCTCCGGCGGAATCACCCCATCGTCCCACAGCCTCGCCGTGCCGAACGTGACTTCACTCTCTCGTTCAATCCGAGCTTTCAATTCCGGATCAACCTTCTTGCCCACAGCCTCCATGACACTGCTCAACTGCTCCGCGCCCATGACGCTTGTCTTCGCAGAGGGCCAGCTCCACAACAACCGAGGAGAATATGCCCGTCCGCACATGCCGTAATTTCCGGCTCCAGCGGAGGACCCTACGAGAACGGTGAATTTGGGAACACGAGCGCAAGCAACTGCCGTCACCAATTTCGCTCCATTCTTTGCGATTCCGCCTTTCTCTGCGTCCTGCCCGACCATGAAGCCGGAGATGTTCTGGAGGAAGATGAGCGGGATGTTTCGCTGGCAGCACAGCTGGATGAAGTGGGCGCCTTTCAGACTGCTCTCGCTGAAGAGGATGCCGTTGTTTGCGAGGATGCCGACGGGATGGCCGTAGATGGTGGCGAACCCGGTGAGGAGAGAAGTCCCATAGCCGGGCTTGAATTCGGAGAATTCGCTGCCATCGACGACGCGGGCTATGACTTCGTGCATATTGATTGTCTGCTTGAGATTCGTACCGACGATGCCGCCGAGTTCCTCGATGGGATAGAGGGGTTCTTTCCAGTCCTGTTTCCGGGATGGGTTCTGTGTTGTCGGATAGTTGAGGTTGGAGATGCATCTCCTGGCCAGGACAAGGGCATGTGCGTCGTCTACTGCGAGGTAGTCTGTTACGCCAGATACTTCCGAATGAAGCTTACCGCCCCCTAGCTCTTCAGCGCTGACTTCCTCTCCTGTTGCGGCTTTGACAAGCGGTGGTCCTGCGAGGAAGATAGTGCCCTGTTCTTGAACGATGATGCTCTCGTCACTCATGCTCGGCACATATGCTCCGCCCGCTGTGCATGAACCCAGCACCACACTGATCTGGGGAATGCCCATGCTGCTCATGTTAGCCTGATTGTAGAATATCCGTCCAAAGTGATCTCTATCCGGAAACACATCGGCTTGTTTAGGAAGGTTGGCACCCCCAGAGTCGACAAGATATATGCACGGTAAACGGTTTTGTTGGGCGATCTCCTGTGCTCGGAGATGTTTCTTGATGGTTACGGGGTAGTATGAGCCGCCCTTGACGCTTCGAGAAAAAATCAGTAACACGGCTCGTGGGAAGAATGAATTCGACATACGTGCTATCGTTTCCCAGTATCATACACATCACACCCTCGACTGTCCCAATGCCCGTCACGATGCCACCAGCCGGCACATCCTCACCAGGATACATATCATGTCCCGCCAGAGCACTCAGCTCCATAAAGCTCGTACCGGGATCTACCAAGGCCGTAATGCGATCCCGCACCAGCAGCTTCCCGCGGTCTACATGTTTCTCTCTTGCCTTCTCCGGGCCTCCCTTTGCCGCTGTCTCGTGCAGAGCTGTGAGAGTGCTCATGTACTCCGACATTGACGCCGCATTCTCTTTGAATCCATTACTATTCGTGTCAACGGCCGACTGCAGAATCGACAGCTGTGCGGAATGATGAGGACTGGTATACGTCGCTACCCGTCGTCGTTGGTGGAGACACTGGATTGGTGTCGTTCTTCGGCGAGGAAGGTGATTTATTGCTCGCGCAAAAGCGCGAGGCGTTAGGAGAGAAATCATATCCGCGTCACATCGCCAACGAAATACGACTGGCTTCCAAGAAGAGAACTCGAGACTCCTCTTGTCAATGGCGGGTGGAAGGTTGCTGGAGGAGGTGGATGCCCGGATCGGTCGGTTACCATCGGCCCAGCATCGGCTGAAGTCTTCCCCAGCTTTCACACTCCACACTTCTACCCTGCCCCGTTCCCGATGTTTCACATCCCAACAACATGCCTTCCTTCTCGCCCTGTAGAGCAGCAGCTCTGCTGCATTGCACAACAAGACTCACGTCCAAGATAGCAAAACCGTTCCCAGCAGCACAATGGTCACGCCTCGCTTCCACGAGGAAACATCCCAAGAACTTCCGTCCTCCCGAGCAAGCCGAACTCGAAGAGCTCCGGGAACGGACGATCGAATTCTGTAGACGAGAAATCCCTCAAGATGTCGCGCAGACGACCGATCATGATAATGAGTTCCCGCTGGACATGTGGAAGAAGTTAGGCGAAGCTGGATTCCTGGGGATCACGGCGGATGAAGAATATGGTGGTCTGTCGATGGGATATCAAGCACATTGCGTTGTGCTGGAAGAGTTGAGTAGAGCTTCTGGCAGTATTGGATTGTCGTATGCCGCGCACTCTCAGCTCTGCGTGAATCAGTTCCAGCTTCACGGGACAGATGAGCAAAAGTCGCAATGGTTGCCCGGGCTGCTGTCGGGCGATAAGGTTGGAGCTTTGGCCATGTCGGAGCATACGGCTGGTAGTGATGTCGTGAGCATGAAGATGACAGCGAAGAAATTCGATGGCGGATACCAGCTCAACGGATCGAAGATGTGGATTACCAACGGTCCCGACGCGGCTGTCATTATCGTGTATGCGAAGACGGAGCCAGAAGCCGCAAGCAAAGGTATCACGGCGTTCCTGGTAGACACTTCGACGCCTGGCTTCAGTGTTGCGAGAAAGCTGGATAAGCTTGGCATGAGAGGGTCGAATACGGGCGAACTGCTCTTCGACAACGTGTTCGTGCCCGAATCTGCCATCTTAGGGCCCCTCAACGGTGGCGTGAAGGTACTCATGGAAGGTCTCGACCTTGAACGTCTAGTTCTCTCCGCCGGTCCACTCGGACTGATGAAAGCTGCTCTCGACGTCACGCTCCCATATGTGCACGAGAGGAAACAGTTCGGGGTTCCATTAGCACACAATCAGTTCATCCAGGGCAAGCTCGCCGACATGTATACCAAATATCGTGCCAGCTCGGCCTTCACCTACTCTGTTGCTCGTGCCATTGATGAGAGCTACGAGAACCCGGACATCAAGACACAAGACTGCGCTGGCGCGATCTTGTACTCTGCTGAGAGGGCGACTGAATGTGGCCTAGATGCCATTCAGTGTCTGGGTGGCATGGGATACATGAATGAAATGGCCGCTGGCAGAATCATGAGAGATGCAAAGCTTTATGAGATTGGTGCTGGAACGAGTGAAGTGAGGAGGATGGTGCTCGGACGAGCTTTCAATAAAGAGTATGGGACTAGATAGTTCACCAACTCAACAACCTTCCTCGGTTGAATTGTGTCGTGCAACCCACTGGTATCAAGAATCAACTTACGGTCTTCATTCGCGGGCCGGGTCAAGGCATTCCCTACGACGAGATGCCGCGGGGTGGTTCAAGCCTAGGCTTGCGAAGGTAGGCTTGCGAAGGTAGGCTTGCGAAGGTAGGCTTGAACTTGCGCTTTGCCTTTACCAGCTGCGCCTCCTCCGATCCTCCATGTGCTGCCAAGAGTAAGTCGCAAGCGAGCTCAGGGATCTCCAGCAAGAAGCCTCTGAATCTCTGGTCGACCTTGAGGCGGTCCATGTGCTCGTTCAGCATCATGACAACGACGGGACGAAGCCCAGCCGCTGTTGATGCGTGCTCAACGTAAACATGGTGTGCAGCCTCGAGCAAGCACTCGGGGAAGCCTGCCGAAGGCAGAAGACTTGCAAGCACATCCTTAAGGCAATACTGTATCTCCCCAGCAACGGAAAAGAACATGTACTTTACGCTGACGACCCACAGGTCGATCTGAAATTTTGCATAGGCCAAGCTCTGGTCCGAAGCTGAAGGGATTGCTCGGCTTTCGTCGTAGCTGGGTTTTCCGTCGAAGTGCAGGCCATATGCATAGGCGATCATGCCTCGCACAGCTTTTGGTTCGTCTTCGTGCAGATCGATCAGGGGCTGATTCGTCTCCTGCAGCACCCATCAGTGTGCTGAACTCAAGCGACGTTCTAGCTCCCTTACTTTGAATCCTCTCTCGAAGCAAGATACGAAGTATGGGGAGGCCTGAGCGATTACCACCTTGTGCGCCTTGATGGTGTCCGAGCCGGAGCGAATGGTAACGTCGCTGTAGGTGTCCTTGTCGAAATACCTGTCTCCAGTGAGCTCTTGGTGAAGCGGGCAGGCATGCGATCGTGACTTACTCCCCAAACCGGCCGAGGAAACCAGCGCGCTTTGGGGTTTGTGCAGCTGTCGCGGCGTGTCCCCCAACCCCCTTGATCGAGGTTGCGGGCGGCAAGCTCTTCATATTGGACGTGCGGATGGTAGTCGGAGTGGATGATGGAGCGACATGTGTGGCTGGGAATTGAAAGCTGTTGGTGCAGAGGTGCAGGGATTGGAATGCGCACAAACCCACCTGCTTTGTGTTGAAGCATGTGAGGAGGGAAGGCGCGACCAGCTAGGACGTGACGTAAGAGCATGTGATCCCAGGCAGCAGCGTCAGGCTGCCTCGATCCATCCCAATGGATGCCATCCAGACGCGCTCTCTCCGCGTCTGTTCTCTACGCGCCTTCGACGGAGCTCGCGTACAACAAGAGTGAAAAGGTAAAGACACACAAGCGTGGAAGGGAGGCGGAACGATTTCGTTTACGTTCCTACGGCCGGATAGCTGTTCCCAGATTGTTATCTCATCCAATTACTTATTCTTCTTACGCACCAAAGGTCCCTCCCCATGTCTCTGTCTAAGCCATGGCTATCGTCTGAACATTTCAAGTACCATCTTCCAGATCCCAAGAATCTTGCCGTAGGGTATCGTTCCGCACAATCGTGACAACATCAGCACCTCAGGTTCAGAGCAGGCGACTTCCACGGTAAAACGCCCCGTCCAGGCCATATCCTGCTCTCAATTTCGACTTGTCGTTGTGAACACTGTCTAGGCCAGTCATGAGCCCATTGGACCACAGTGAGGGATGGTGGAGAAAGATACTCACCCGCGACCGTCGACTTCTCGCTTGAGCTGTCTTTGGATAAGATGGACGTGGTATCGCTCTTCTTGTCACTCCTGAACATTGACCTGAGCGACGAGAACTTGGAAGACTTTGTGGATTGCGAGGCAGAATCTTTCTCGAGAATCTCGACAGGACCTTGCTTGTTTGGGACTTCGGCGTAGGTTGGAAGTTTCTTCTCTTTCGATTGAGGTTGTCGAGCAAGAGCTTTGCTTTGATCTTCGACAGGTCGATCGTAGCCGAGCGTGCTTGAGGGGTTCTGTTGAGGCATCGTGGTCGTAGGCTTGGGTATGCGGATTTTTCGATATGGAGCTAAAGGTTTGCCCGCGTTTATTGGCAGTGCAGACGTCTGGCGGAGGAAGCGTAGTGGGAGAGAAGCATTGTGCCAAGCAGGCAAGATATATAGTCTGATGTGCCTGCCTCAATACCTGGCCAGCTAGTGGAGCTCGGAGTAGAAAACGCTATGGGCGGCCCGGGTCCTCCCCTTAGAGAAGGATGGTGGTGCATATGGGCGTCTTAATTGCCTGATCGGGATGATGACTCTTGATGCCTCAGAATCATGAGGGCCACCAGTGGTCGGTACACAATTTGGGAGCCTGGAGGTATTGTAAGCGACAAGGCTTAGTCACGCAGGAAGATGAGTTCGCTTTCGCATTGGCTCTGACAAGGTGATGAAGATTGAGTCACTGGGCCCCTCTTCAGCTCTGGTGCAGTCCATGTAGTGCAAGCTGCGGGCAGTCTCGCTTGCTCTGGAGCATTGTCGATGAATACAATGGCGTTGCAGGCAACAGTCTCTGAAGTATGGCGGACAAGACCACGGCTTTCTGTCGCCAGGATCGATATCGGATGTTAGGGAGCTGTTGTCGTCGGAGACTAATGATAATCCCCCCAAAGCCGACGGAGAAACTCTCTCCCGCGCACGGATCTCTCTCTCTTCCGAACATCCTTCTTTCTGCTCCCCGCTCTTCCCCCCCGCCGGCCAACATACTGTACCTTACCCTCCAATCTTGTCTCGCCGTCCTCCGGAAATAGGGAATCGGAAGCATTCAAGGCTCTGCTACTACTGATCTACAACCAAGACGCAGCTGACTCAGCTCCTCCGATCGTCGGCATTGATGTGTGAAGCGCCTCGTGCATCGGAGCTCGTGAACGCCGATAGAATGGATGAATGAGCTCCGGATCTCGGTGTTTGATTCAACCTCGCCTTTCCTCTTTGTATGGCCATCGCGACACTTGCCTGCCACCGAGCGCAGTGCTCTCTCACGATGCTGCCTGGATCCCTTTGACGCCATCATCGACTCCATCGCTCTCTCACACACCTCCTACACACCTCAAGCGTCCGCTTTCTGGCTTGCATACGCGTTCTGCCGCACTCCACTGCTGTATCCAGGCCGCTCTTTAGGCAACACTGCATCTTTTCATTCTTTTTCCAGCATCGGGACATCACTCGCTACTATAGACCTGCAGGCTTCGCCAGAGGCTTCGTCAGCATCATGGACGCGGAAACGATCGCTGCTGCTCCTGCTGATGACTCGACAACCTCGTTGCAACCGTCGTACAGAAGAAATGGCAAACTCTTCAGTTGTGAGCCGTGTCGTCGCGGCAAGCTGAAATGTGGACACGAAACTCCGGTCTGCGGAAGGTGTGCCAGGAGGGGACGACAGAGTGAATGCATCTATCACCCAGCCCCCTTGACGAGACCACGTCCTGCTCCTGGAGTCGGACCTCACCGGACTGACCCAGCAGACAGGCCTTCTCACTTGCCCTACCCATCTGTAGCCGACAAGAGGCGGCGGAGCGGTCTCATGAGTCCACCATCTAGTACGGGAGCTCAACACCCTCAGGGACTTCCCGCCTTGCGCCCGGTGAACGGCGGAGGCAACTCATTAGGACCGACAACAGGCCTCTCACCAGTACCAATGACTACACCAGAAGACAGGAACGGGGCTTCCTCAGGAACTTCTTATACAAGCCCGGAAAGCACCATGTCTTTCAGAGATAGCAGAAGTGGCTTCCTTGGACCGACGAGCTACAGCGCCGTCTACACTGAGAACTCCAATATCTTAGCGACGCCGGATGTTGAGGATGCGCCTGACTTACCTGCCAATTTCTCCGCCGACAAGATACAACAAGGCGCCGAGGTCCTTTCCATGCTGCGAGATATTCCAGTGTACCGAAGATTCACCGAAAGATGGTTTGAACTTTGCGACGGCATAGTGGTGATTCAACCAGTCTTTCGGATTTGGATCGACGAGTTGTGGAATGCCTTCGGTCAGATCCTATCAGACGGCAAGCCCGACCAACTTCGAGGCCTTTCGGAGCTGGTCTGGCGCAATACTAGACGACCAATGAAATTCAATGGAAACATGACTGCGCGCGAGTGGGCAGAATCAGCCTCTGGACATAGCTTGAGATGGGAAGTCGTCGGTGTAGTCCTGTCACTTGTCGGGTTGATCGCCGTGAACCTGAGCAATTGGGACTCTATCTTTGATTCCATCCGGGAGAGATTCGTTGACAGGTAAGATCGGATCGTCTACTGCGTGGTTCAGTAGCTTGCTAATACACCTCAGGGCTACTTTTGCCGAGCGCATGCGGAAAGCCTCGGAGTTCTGCCTTTGCTTTTGCTATGAGTGCGAGGTCTTGAACGACGTCTATGTCGCCTTCATGTTTGAGGACTTGGTTCTCGTGGAAAGTTTAAAGGGAGATGCTCATTATGCCGCGTGGCAACGAACAGGAGAGGTGTGTGACGCAATCGTCGCAATGGTAGGTGACAACTGCATGCTTTGAGATATCACAGGCGTTTCGCTTTCACGAAGATCTTAGTGCATCATAGCAGACCGGCTGACACTGTTCAGGGCCTTCACCAAGGAAATCGGGCCGACTCCGAAACGCCATTCTTTCTTGCGGAACTACGAAAGAAGATTTTCGTGGTAAGTCGCCGATTGAGTGAAGGTTACAATCATTGCTGTATCTAAGGTGATTTTGTTTAGATGACCTACGGGCACGACAAGTCGGTAGCAACTTTTCTTGGCAGACCACCAAGACTCAGTCACCGATATTGCAAGATGGAAGCCCCTCTCGACCTATCTGGTGACGAGCTGTTCCTGGAAGGGCCAGAACTGGAGAAAGTGCTTTCGAGTCTGGATGGGAATGGGTGGAACACCAAGGGAAATCTCCATCGCACAACATGGAATCGGGTTTGGTTCCAGCACTGCCGCATACGAGAGGATATCTTGGAAATCGCACTTGGATCAGAAGAAGGAGAGGATATCACGCTGCGAGCTGAACAAGTCCGCCGAAAGATGGAACGCGTGCATTGCTCTATGCCGGATTTCATGCGAGTGACCCCAGAACAGATCCTAGGCAACAGCGACATGATTTTCGGTGTGGCGTATCCTATGGGCAAGAATGAAAAGGCTATGCGCTTTGTCAATGGCATCTTCGTGATATGCATTCATGTTGGCATAATGCACACCGAGTTCTTGTTGCAGAGAGCGCTGACAACGCGGCTTCGAACGGACACGAAGCAACTCATTCCGATCGCACGACGTATGCTGAAGCTCGTACTGTTGGCGCAATCCCGGAGAGATTTCTTCCGAGACTTCCAAGGCGATCTGATCTATCTCCTCACTCTACACGTAAGTATGCGACCCAACACTGAAGGCGATCACCTGCTAATGGTATGCTCTAGGGTCTCCCAGCCGCAGGTGTTCTAGCAGTGGAAATGCTCAAACAGGAGCAGACAAAGCAATACACACCTGACGTATTGCCTCGTTCGGAGACAGTACAAGACCTGAGCGTCTTCATCTCCGCTTTGGCTGCCGTAGGACCCGGTGAAGGGAACTTTTCCATCTGCGATCAAGGCCGAAGAGCTTTGAAGCGAGTCCTAGATCAGATATTGTCGCCGAGCCAGCATCCTGCGCCGCCAAGGTCGGCATCTGGAGAAGCGGGTGTCTTTACTGATTACTTCCCAATAGGTAACGATGCGGACTTCCTTCAATGGCTGGATAACGTCGAGTGGGACAAGAATCACTGGATCGATCCGGCTCTTGTTGCCCAGGGCGAAGCGGACGGATGAAGTTGGGGAGATGATCGGGTTGCTTTTCCAACGATCCCATTTGAACGAAAGCGAATTGCAAGAGCAGCTTGCTTGCAGCATGTCTTGTACGTGGCTTGGAGCGCGTAGGGACTGAAGCAGTTCCTCGCCATGCCGATTCCGAGGCTGTGCCTGCGGCGTTCGGATTTTCGTGCCAACATACAACATGCTCGGATGGATGAACTCGAACAGCACGCGAATGGAGCCAGTTCGACGCTCGAGTGAGAGACGGATCGCGGTCGCCGACAGAGAGGTGCGCCAAGGTGGACATGCTTAAGGCTGGTCGTTCTCAGCTGCCGTGCGGTAGCGATGAGTTGCTGGAGCTCGACCGAATAGCCTGACCTGGTGATAAGCACCAGGAATGAGAACAGCAGTCTCTTCAAGTCCGAATTCCACTAATCAACTTCCTCCCTCAAGCGAAGGTGGTCTTGGAACTTTCCAGTTGTGGACTTTGAAATTGTTACATTGCACAATCTATCTGTTCACGCGAAAGCCTGCTCTGGACGCGTCCCTTCGGCATCCACGGAAAGTCCGAGCTTCCCCTTGACACCCGAAGCCTCAACCATCTCATGCGCTCGCCGGACCCCATCCAGAGTAAGGGGAAGCGTCTCTGTATGGTGACACTGGATCGTCCCATCACCAACGTAAGCCGCAAGCTCAATAAGCAGCTGTCGATGACTCTCCACATCAACCCCATACAGCGGTTTCGTCCCAATGACTTCCCAGATATACGTCAAGCTCTTCGCCATCCATTCCGTGCCGTACATGGGAATCTCCTCGTCCTGGACAATACTGCAGACTTTCCCGAAAGGCGCTAGCAACGAAGCGGAATCGACAATGTACTTGGATGCCGGGGTATGCGTGATGAAGACGTAGCGGATCGGAACGTCGAGGTTGAGGGATTCGATCTGTTGCGCGAGGTTGTCGGAGTGGTGGTTGATGGTGTGCGTCGCTGTTCCGACGTCCTTGCTGAAAGCTGTCGTTTCCTCCCGCGAGGTCGTCGTGATGACCACGGGGAGTTGTAAGATCTTCCGGGCGATCTGGGACGCTATACTGCCCACCCCTCCGGCTCCGTTGATGATCAGAATCCCACTGGCCTCGCCCATCTTGATCCCCATGCGTTCAACGAGCGCTTCCCAGGCCGTGATCCACGTCAGAGGCAGACAAGCCGCCTGCACCATGTTCAGATTCTGGGGTTTCAGGGCCACGCTCCGGTTGTCCACGAGTTGGAATTCGGCATTCGAGCCTTGCCGGACGGGACTCCCGGACCAGAAGACTTCATCGCCGGGTTTGAAATTGTGCACTTCGGGGCCGATGGCTTGGACGATGCCAGCGCCGTCGTAGCCGAGGATTTGGGGGAGGTTGGGGGTTCGGCTGTAGTAGTCTGGATAGTCGTCGTAGGTTCCGTTGCGGACTTTGGTGTCTACGGGATTGATGCTGCAGGCTTGGACTCTGCGAACTCGTCAGAATCGGGATTGGTATAACGAGGGTAGGAGGGGGGAAGGCGTACTTTATGAGCAGGTCGTGACCTTGTGGTTCACCGGGCGTTTCGACCTCGATGGCGACCAGATTGTCGATGGGCCCGTATTCGGAGACTGCAATTGCCTTCATGTTTGGTCAGTGTGGTGAGGTATGACTAGCATTTGTCTCGGGGAATGGACGAGAGGTATTGCGTCCTCGTTAATAATACAAATCTCATCTCGACCACGTTCATGTCACCTAGACGTCATTCCCTCAGCTTTCCGCCATGATGAGGCTCCACACAAAACGATGCGGCACAGCTGAGCAATGCACCTCCAGCAACAGAGAGCCGTGATGACATTCCATGGAGGCATCGCGGAGCCGACACTCTGCCCACGCTCGTGACGACGCCATTTATATGGGGCTTTCAACGAGGACTTCGGGGTTATGTCGTGAAGATACCGCGACTTTCTGAGACCGAGGCTCTCTTGGCCGGAACATGGATGCATCGTCTTCTCGTACCTCTGCACGCGAGGACGTTGGAGTCTTGAGATGGGCGGGATGGAGTTTGGAAGAGGGAAAGAGGGTCTGGAAGAAACCGAACCGGGATGAGGTTCCCGCGTCGCCAAGCTTCTTCACATGTTCGGCTCGAACTGCCGGTGTGAGAGCTTTGACTAACAAAGAAGGTTCATGGCCCGGCTATCTACATAAGGTTTTGAGGTGTTTTTATGTCCCCTCTGCTTGGCTGCCAAGACCAGAGTTTTTCACACTTAGGCATAACACTACTTTAGTAAGTGTAGTGTAATTCCTTAGTATATAGGCTAAGGATCTTATATCCTCCCCTACTTAGACTTTAGTACCTACTAAAGCCTTAGTAGAGCCTTAATTGTCTGTAGATTCGTAGCCTCCCTCTATATACTAGTATATAGTTGTCCCTATAAGCCTTAGCCTTATAAAAAGGTTATAAGCCTTAGGTAGTAGTATTTACTAGTATATAGGCTTTATCTTTCCTAATTAGGAAGGATGTTTACTCCTACTTACTAGATAATAGTAAACTTTCACTGTTTGTGACTTGCCTATATAACCTAGTAATAAGGGTACGAGACCTAGTTATTAGAAGGTAAATAAGTAAGCTTCTAGAAGCTTATATAGGTAGGGGTATAAGAGCTTCTTCTCTACTCTTATCTCCTTCTTCTTGTTAACTACTTCTCTACTCTATTCTCCTCCTATAATAATAAAAGCCCTCTCTAAGAGGCTATTTATATAACAAAAGCCCTCTCTAAGAGGCTAAGTATATATACATTTTCCCTTCTAAGCTTCTAAGCTCTCTCCCTTTACTTCTAATAATAACATTTATTAGTAGCTCTTGTTAGAGCCTTAGCTAGTAGAGCTTATACTATGTCTTCCCTTTAGGCACGTATAGCTAGTATACGTATTAGCCGTAAGAGTAGCCGTACTAATCTTAAGGCTAGCCTATCTTCTTTAGGGAGTAGTAGTAGAGAGCCGCTAAAGTAGCTACTAAATTTTGGACCTATAGTACTAAGCTTAATAGAAAACTAGTTCTAGTAGATTATAAATGCTCTATAGGACTCGTAGTTCCGCTATACTTCTATTACTATAGATCTAGTAAAACTTCTTAAGCTAGCTCGTATTATCTTTATTACTAACAACTATAGCCTTATCTAGCGCTAGTATAATATCCTTCTAAGTAGTTCCAGGAATGGCCGGCTAAATATAACTCTATTTAACTAGATTGCTTCTCCTAAGGCTAACTTTAATAATAATCGTAGTAATCCTAATATACGCCCTATAGATAAAGCTATAGTTACTACTATCCTAGGTAGTCTAGCTAGAACAATTACTATTAATCTATATAGTAGTACTAGCTACCTACTTGTGATTCTAGGTACCCTACTAAAAGGGGCTGTTACTAACTCTAGTCCTCCTAAGTAGTCTCTAGATATAGAGGAAGATAAATAGAGCCGTTACATTTAGTATAGCCCTAAAGACTCTAGAAAGGGTAGGCTTGCTTTGTGTCGCTAGATACTAGATAGTTAGGGTAGTTAGTTGCTTAGAGGTGCCTATACTAACTGTACTTAGACTCTAGGTTATAATAGATACTCCCTAAGCTTAGGAGTAAGTAGAGTACGCTCCAACTTAGCTAGCCTAAGCAGGTCTAGTAGGAGGCCTAATCGTCTAGTTATTAATAGGGAGGCCCTTTTTAACTAGGTATTAACTAATATCCGGGACATATAAGGAGCTTAGGATACTCTTAGAGGTCTTATCTACTTTAAGCCTAATACTATCGAGCCTACTAAGGATACTAGGGAGGGTGTAATAATTATCCTATTTAACTTTAATATTAATAATTAACTATAGTAGATTGTAAGACGAATAAAGTACGCCTTAGGTCGTAGTCGCTATGTAGCTAATGTAGCTACTACCCGCCTTCGTTAGGATATAGGAGGGGATACTAATTCTAGTAGGGATAAGAGTAACTCTAAGAAATAGGGTCTTTCTAGTAAGGAGAGTAGTAATAAAGATAATAAATAAGTTCAGTTAGGGAGCTGTAAGGGTTTAGGTTAGTAGTTCTTCTTTTGCTTTTAGGGGTTAGTAGAGTTAGTAGGTCTTTTTCCTTTTTCTTTTAGCTATTCGCTAGAGCAGCCTATACTACTATAGGTTACTACTTATAGCCTTTCCTTTATATTATAGAGTACTAGGACAAGTATAGTCTCTTATTAGGATTTAGTAGCCTCTAATAATTATAGAAATTGAAAACTTATCTTAATTTCTCTTTCTCTAAGAAGGAACAGGTCTCTACCTTAATCCTCTAGGTCTAGGCCTTACTAACTTGAGCTTATTCTCCTTATATTCTTAAGAAGAAGCTAATAGGTCCCTAGGGTTATAATCTCTTTAGAGAGGAGTAGTTATAGGAGGTTGTATTAGTCTTAGTTCTTCTACTATAGAATTAGGTTCTCTAGAGGGATAGAGTAAACTGTCTTTAAGTATAGTTCTAGGTCCAGAATTTCGCTCTATAACTAGTAGAGAAGGATTGCTAGGCTGTTCCTAAGTAAGCCTAGCTAGTGCTAGGTCCTCTAGGATAGGTAGGGCTAGAGATCCCTCTATCTCCTTTGCTACATTCCTTTGTAGGCTTAGCTAGCTTATAGGCTGAAAGCTAGTTAGTCTTGTTAGAGGTTCCTCTTTAAGTCTATTAAGTAAGGATTTTTCTTAAGCTTGCTTATACTCTTAGATTTTTAACTTCCTCCTTCTATCTTTTAAGACCTAATCTATAATTTTTTAGTTTGAACCTATTACTAGATTATCTCCCTCCCCTACTAAGAATCTTCGTACTCCTATATAAACACGATACTAGCTAGCATTCTTAGTTAGGGAATTCTAAAGTCTCTTCTATTTAGCCTCTAGAATTATTAAGAGATTAGAAACTAACATCCTTATATCTCCCTCTTTATTTAGGATCTCCTTAATTTCTAGTAAACTTAGAGCACTAGGCTTACTATTTAACATACTATTAGTATACTTTAACTAGAATTGTTTAGAGCCCTAGTAATAAGCAGAGATTAAGCGATTGCTATGTATTAAGTGCCTTAAGACTCTCCCTTATAGGGTCTGTAAGGCATAGGTCCTAAGCTAGTAGGCCTTCTTAATCTTAAATAGCCCTAGCTACTTAGGCTGAAGCTTTTTAGGTTTAGGGTTTATAAGTAGTACCTATTCCCTAACCTTTCTCCTTAGTCCTAATTCTGCCTATATAATCTATAGGTTTATTAGGCCTCTAGAGGTTGCACGGTTTAGTAGCCTTTTATTAGTAAGCTGTCGTGTATAGCGTACCTTAACAAGTCTTTTGCCTTAATTATTAATTATAAGCTTACTTGTTAGGCGCTATTTATTTTTATCCTCTAAGATCCGGGGGTACTGTCTATATAGGAGGTAAAATAGACTTATTTTAGTAGTTATATACTACCTGTATCTAGTATAGAACAAAGCCTTATAAAGGAATGTGTCCTAATAGCGTATGTCTATGCCTAGGTACATCTTAGTTAATATATTGCTAAGAGTACTATTTAGATTCTTAACCTTCCTATTTGTTATTAGGTAGTAGGGAGTACTAAGCTTGTAGTTTGTCTTAAACTGTTTTATTAAATAGGCTATAACCCTTAATAGGAAGTTTTTCCTATTATTAGACAGTAGTTCTCTTAGGGCACTATAGAAGCTATATATTTCTTTATATAGGAAGGTAGCAGTTGTCTTATTATTAGTAGAGGGCACTGCCCTTATAATAGGCTAGCTAGTTATACACTTAATAGCTGTAATAATGTATTTATTTCCTTCTAAGGACTTAGGCATAGGTCTAATTATATTAATTGCCTATCTTTCAAATAGTTACAATTGTAGATTAACCTAGTAGAAGGGATTCTCCTTATTCTCTAGCTTATTAGGAAGCTGTTTCTAGGTTAATTAATAAGTAGGACACTGTCTTAAGAATCTCCTAAGGTCTGTTTTTATTAAAGGCTACTATGCCCGGGTTTTAATATGTCTAAGGAGTCTAGGAAATCCAAAATAGCTATACTAGGTATAGATTCTATTAATAAAGTCATACCTCTAAAGGGGTTTAAGGTATAGTACAGTTCCCTTATTATCTAGTAGAATATGCCTAAGATTAATAATCCCTTTATTATCTGTTAGGGTAGTGAACTGCTAGGATCTCTTAAGGACTATATCCTTAAGGTAAGGATCTTATAGAAGTGTTATATCTTGCTTATAGGCAAGTATAGCTTCTATAAAGGGTTTATATTCCTTAGCCTTAAGTCTTAGTATAGCTAGCTGTTTAATAGTAGCACTTGACTCTATAGGCTAAGCTATGTTTGCTAGTCCTTCCCTAATAAAGTTAGGCCTTCTAGAGATAGTATCTAGGACAATAGCTTTACTACCTTTCCTATACTTAATGTCTAGGTTATATTCTTAAAATTCTTTAGCCTACCTTACAATCCTCTTACTCTAACCTTTAGTCTAGTTAAGGTATTTAAGGGATTAGTAGTCTATTAAGACAGTGATAGTTAGTCTATTTGTAATATAATTGCTCTAGGTTCTTAGGGCTTCCTTAATAGCTAGGCCTTCCTTTTCGTAGACAGGAT